AAAACAGTACCAATAAATAGAGTACAAACCTTTAAACAAACTATAACCACGATCGGTATTAATACAGAAACAATTTCTTGCCAAAATCTTCGATCTATCATGTATAAAATAAACACCACTCTCATCGACGCCATGTTCGGAAAAAAAGACGGAAATTGTACGCCTAAATTCGCTACTTTCCCAAAAGGTACTGGAAACTAATAACTTTTTGACCCAGTCATTAACTCACCTGAGTTATTGCATGTTTGTATATATAGTTATACCATGGTAATTTAGTTACACAAACTTTGCAAGTTCATTAAGAAATAGTAAATTAGTTAGCAATTTTGTAATTTGTTTATTTATTAACTATGTTATTTATTTGTGTATTGTGTTTTTGAAGATTTTTTACATGTTAATATAACTATGTATGCCACCAGTACAATTTTCTTGAGCTGTAGCAAGTATATTTGGAATGGTGTGGCCACTTGTTTTCATCCCATACCAAACCCACATGTGTTAGCATTTGGGTGTTAGATGTTAACATGCGTTTGGTATGGGATGAAAACAAGTGCCCATACCATTCCCAATATAATATAATTGTTGCACCCATACCATTCCCATAGTTTATACATCAAGAACCATATGAATTCCATATCATGTTCCCAGATCATTCCCATATAGAATCCTATCTTACCCATAGCAAAGTTGTTATGAAATGATATAAGGAACCCATGTATTTCCCATAGTAAGTCATATGGGATATGTATGGATTTGTACCAAATACGTATCAAACCCATATCAAAAACATGATATGGGTATGCTATGAAGGCAACCAGGCCATACCAAAGCCATATACCTCCCATATATGGCCCATAGGTTGAACCATATCAATCCCATAGTTGGTCCATATATGTCCCATATAATTTGGTTTTGTAAGGGAGTTACTTTTCACACTATTTAGATGTATTTCATTTTTGGCCACTCTGTTGGATAACAAAAACTGTATAATCAGTGTATATTTGTAGGTTTTAAAGTAAGTATTTTCTGCTAAAACTTCGTAGATGCAATATCAAACAGTTTTCCCACATGTTTCTTGCGATATTTGCTTTGAAGAAGGTTTAGTACATCAATTAAAATGTATTAAATTAAAAGTTTAGTCATGTGACCATAACATCCCAAGATAAGATACAACATGAAATTTTTGGACAAATGCAAATGCTGTAGATGCCCTTATGCTCCTTATATGCCTCATAATAGGTGAACGTTATCTATCGGCAAGACAAAAATCGTATTGTGTTAAAATATTATGTACTGTAAAGTCCTTCATTTATTCCATCCTTTTTATCAAGAATTTTGTATTACATTTAGTGTCGTTAAAACAAATTAAGTAACACTGGGTGACACAAGTCAAGACTACAATGTTCCCACAAATGCAAACTTGGGGAAGGGTACTTCAGACACGGTAGAGCATCTAGTCACCAGGCCCTTTACTGTCCACATGACTGATCAGGGCTAATTAAGTATACAATGACTCTTGACAATGCTCTTGACATGGTCAATATGGAAGGAACTAAGGCATTGAATATACATACTCGAAAATTTACAATATTGTCAATGAAGAAAATCCTTTTTTCGGTTGTGTACTTTGGAGCTGCCGGTAAGCTACACGTAGTATTGCACGCGAATATTTAAAAATATTCTGCTGTCAACATCAACCATAGACATGTTCGTTTTATAGCAATATGCAGTCAATACATGCACTTTTAAGTTACTCAGGTGCATTAATGCCTGGCTCCAATTTCATAAGGAGTGGGAAATTAGGAAAAATCTTAAATACCCAAGGGATGACGTCACCTGCCAATGGAGATGCATATGTTCCTCTGGCAAATAGGCACCGTCAACCCTACTCAAAGTCGCAGTCACTGCATGGTATAGAATATACAGCATGAGTTTTGTTTTAACAGGATCTGATTTGTTTTAACAGGATCGCCATATGAAAATATGGCCTAAAGTCAAATAGGGTTTTAACCCTTAACAGAGGTATCACCCTCTGAGTTATTTTGGTTCCTACAAACAGGTGATCTCAGGCAATCATTAAGAAAATGTTTTGAGTAATCGTTTTCCCCTAAAATATTTAGAACACATTCACATTCATTATCTTGAGAATCACTGTTTGACGGCAAGGATTCAGCTCTTTGAAGCAAAGTTTTTGCTACAGATCTTTTATGGCTTACTGGGTGATGAGAGTCGTATGACAAGTATTTGTCTGTGTGTGGGTTTGTGATAAACATCAGTCTCTAACTTCCCTTTGACAGTTCTGTGCACATTCAAATCTAAGAAAGCTAAATGTCCATTTATCTCATGTTCTACTGTGAATTGGATGGACGGCTCAATAGAATTTAAATGTTGCAGCAGAATATTGATTTATTTCTAGAAACCACAGAGATGATGACATCGATGAAGCGTTTCCAAAATGATAGAGATACTGGAACAGAGGCTAAAGCTCTTTGTTCGACATCTTCCATTACTAAATTAGCAATTACTGCCGATACTGGTGAGTCCCATCGCTATTCCAAAAACCTGTTGGTAATAACATCCCTCAAACACAAAGACAGAAGATCAATAATGTCTTCTACAGGCAAAGATGTTCTTTGTAACAAAGTGGCATCCTGTCTTAGTCTTTTTGTCGCAACCTTGATGGCAAGATTAACTGGGATGTTTGTAAACAAGGAAACGACTTCAAATGATACCAACACTTGATCTTCTTTAAGAGTTTTACCTCTTACAAATTCTGCAAAATGACAGGAATTTTTGACAGTGTTTTTGGTATTCCCCACCACAGGGGGCAAAATTTTCGCCAAAAAACAACTTGAAATTCCATATTCGCAAAGGACACAACAGGTCTCAATGGAATTTCCAGTTTATGGATTTTCGGTAAACCATAGAAACACGAAGATATTCCATCACTGCTGTATAACTTTTCATAAGTAGCCTTGCTGATAATATTGGATTCCTTCAAAAGAAGTAACTTGCTGTTTAAACCTCTTAAGTCTTTCCAGTAGGATCATACTTGAGAATATAATACGTATTTCTGTCATTCAACAGTGAATGAGCCTTCTCACGATAATCATGTTTGTCCATAACAACAACACAATTGCCTTTGTCCGCTGAAAGAATACCCTGTCCGGATCTTTTTTAAGAGCAAGAAAAGCATTGAAAACATTCGAATTTATGTTTTTGGAGGTATTTTGGCACGTCGAATATCATCGTCTAGTGGAAAAATTCCTTCTTGAACTGAAGCAATGCTTTCGGCTGTTGGAATTCTGTTAGGTACAACCGCAAATTAGCTCTTTAGATGAGAGGTTTTTAACCCATCTCTTCTTAAGATTCGAACTCGATTTATCAGATGGTTTTCTTCCAATCAGATGCAGCAATTTTTTTTGGTGACGTCATCCCTTGGGTATTTAAGAAGCCACAATTGCTATTTTAGATCACCCCTGATGAAGACACTAGACTGGAGTGTCGAAACGTTGGGTCTTGATTACAATTCGACTGGGCTTTGTAATCATTTAAACTAGAGTAGCGAGCAAAATATGATTGATATACCTGGTTGCAATGAACGAACAAGCTTTAAATTAACTTAATGTTTTAAATCACGGCTTGCAGACACACTAAACATTCATGGATGGATATGTACACAAAAATATTATCACGGAACCTTTTACTCGTATACTGCAATGTACTAATTAGAAACTTAAAGATTATGCCACAGATATGAAAATGTTGCTGTGAATACAACAATGTCTCACACAATGTCAATGTAATTTGCACTAAAACGATCATTCCAAGTACTTGCTTACAAGTCTAATTGTAGGACCAAAGTTAGCTGTACTCTGGACAAAATCTACTTATTAACGACCCACATTAACAGTGTCTTATGAAATACAAATATAGAAATATTATACAATGTCTAAGAAACCATTTGCAACTAGTGAGTAGTGTATTCAAGTAATATGTACAGAAGTACAATATGATAAGTACATATGTTCGTTTATATATTGAACAGAATATTCGACACTTGTCTGAGTCTTTATATGAAAGCATATTATATTTCAACAACAAAATTTATTGAGAAATATGTCTCACTTAAACATCACCACCCCAAAAAAGTTTGAAGACTTCCCAAGATCATGTTCTGTGGTTTCTCATGTTATCACTTTATAGTAAAAAATTACTATAAACTTTTTTGTAAATTTAGCCCTTCGAAAATAAAATATGTTCCATTACCACTGATCAAAACAGTTTAATTATATTATATAATATGATATACTTAATTTACAGTTTAATGTAATAATATTATGCGCTTAATCTACAGTTTAATGTTATTATTGTTATACACTGTTATAGGCCACTGTCATCAGATACTACAGTTGAATCCTCTCTGGACTGTAGTGTATTGCCATTGAACTTCTCCATCACTCGTGCAAAAATAGACTTTAAACTTCTCCCTAACAGACTATGCATCAGCTGATGCTGTACATCCCATGTTTGTAAGATTTTGCATGGCTTGGTATTCTTGAAGGCAATCTCTTTCATCTTGAACATTAATTGGTGTGCTATTACCAGTAGATTTCTGCAAGTAGTTGTGGAGAACACAACATGCCTGGACACATTGCTCTGGGTGTAAATTAATACGCCTCTGAAAGATACGCCATCGCTGAGCCAATAATCCGAATGCATTCTCTGAGATTCCGTGGGCTCTGGAAAGCTGGTAATTAAATATACACTTATCAATTGAAAGATCTCAACCAGGATAGGGATGCAAAAGATAGGTTTTAAGAGGAAATGCCTCATCTCCAACAATTACATATGGCATAGGACCTAATAAGAATAAAGTTAATGGTTTTAGTAGATGGATAATTAGAGTGGAATACTATAACAATTTTAGACCAAATAGGGGACAGCATGCAACACTAGGACCCTTGACAGGAATTGAACCTGTGGCCCTGCGATTAAGTTCAATCGAGTGAGATGCAGAAAAACCATATTGAGTTTACCTTACCTAGTAAGGAAGCCCCAGGCAGATCAATAGGAACTGGTAGATTAAGTTGGTTCTCTGCCAGCCTTTGACCCAGTAGTGAATTTGAAAAAATCCCTCCATCACTATTAGATCCATAACTTCCAATATCAATGACTGTAAAACAGTAATTGGCATCAACTAAAGCCATTAAAACCATAGAAAATGTCCCTTTGTAATTGAAGTATAGGGAACCTGAATTGGGTGGAGCTTGAAATGTAATGTGCTTGCCATCTATAGCCCCCACACAGTTTGTAAAATTCCATTTATTGTTGAAACTTTCAGCCAAAGCTTGCCATTCATTCTTAGTGGGGACCTTCATGCACTGATTTACCAGGCATGTGGATGCACCAACAGTGGATGCACCAACACGATAACTAAATACAATGGTTTTATATGAATCACCTGTCGCAAAAATCTGGAAAAATATTTAAGTATTAATGAAGAAAATGAAAAAGAATTCCATCTTTAATTTCTGAACCAGGCCGATTTATATCAAACTGTTATTCAATGATATGAAATTGGCCAAATAAATTATTAAACAAGTATACAACACCTTTATTCAGAATGAAAGCTGTTATTAAATGTTATTTTCATATATAGTTTAGTTTATATGAACAGCATACAAATGCCCCTACCCCTCTGGAAGGCCCAAGAAACAAAACCCTGTCTTAATTTTTTGCAATGTTGACAACCAAACCTTATACTACAGTTTCTCCTCTGTCAGTAAATTATTTATAGTCTCCGAGAGACCAGAGTGGTACATTTATTGCCATTCTTGGCATCACACAACAAAAATAATAACCTATTAAATGAGTTGTTTTTACCTAAAGCAGATAGCCAATCCCTGTTGTGAACTTATAGGGTTCATGTAGTTTGTGGTCTGTTTACGAATATGAGGACCAACGATATTCAACAAGTTTTCAAATGTTTCGGGTGTCATTCTGAAGTATTGGAAAAACCGCTGTTCATCTAGCCGAAGTTCCTGTACGAGACAATGAAATTCCCCAAGTTGTTGCCTTCGTCTCAAGATTGAATGAATCCACACAGTCCGTCTTTGACGTAAAAAAAAACGCGTCTGGTCTGTACACGCATTTTCCTGCAAATTTTGTGAAATCGCACCACATCCAGTGTGTGTAGGCCTTAAATCGGCCTGAGTAGTAGTAATGTATTTTTGTTTGTATAAATTGATACAAAATATTACTCTATCACCCTGAAATACAGTCTGTTTTCAAAGCTTTTGTTTGCTATCAAATTGCTAACAGTATGTATATCAAAGTCCAAACAATATATGTGTCAAATTACACATAGATTAATGCTTGCATTAGGCTACATAAAATGAATTCCTTGATTCATCCCCGAGCCGACGGCGCGAAGCGCCGTGCGAGGGTGCTAATTCCCCCAGGCTATTTACACCCGGGGAAACGAAAGCATTAGCGAAGTCTAAAGTTCATCAAATATTGCGGGCGTGGGTCACTCAGGTAGATTAATGCATGGCTCCCATTCAAATATAGCCAAAAATACATTAAATTATATAAAAAAATCAGTTTAGTTTGTATGAATGTGGTCAATGTTGGTATATGAGGACAATAGGATTTTACTTTTTTTCTATGCCTTTGTTGCCATGGCAACAGTCACGTGACCATTTAAATGGTCTCCATCCAAATGACCAAAACAAGGCCGCTGCCTCTAGCGGATATTCACGCAGATAAACTAACATTTTCACATTAACGTTCTTTAGTACTCACAGATTATGGATCCAATCAGCCCCTGTTCCTACACCGTTCAGAATTTCATATATTTTCGATAATATGCAACTGACACTATGCTCTGGTGTCAATAAGTGTACATTATTTTGAAACGAAGCCAGCTCGGAGCAGGGGCTGATTCGTTTCGTAAACTGCAAGGTTTCCACTAAACAAAGGCGTTGTTAATGTACTAAATTGACTAAAAACCGCGGTCGGCAAAGCAAACGTGTTTTCTTCCACGCGATCACTTTAGTATCGCTGCCATCATTATGAGCCCGCGTTGGAAGTTTAGCGGATACACACATAAATATACAAAATTAACATTCCAAGACATTCCAATGTTGTAAGATGATCACGCAACAACAGGAATCTCAAATCTTTACCGCTTCAAAAGCAATAATTTGGCTATCAGAACGAACAATATTAGATTTATTACTGACGATTTAAAGCATAGGTAATATTTATATCGTAAAGAGGATGCGAAATTGTGATTAGATTGCTACTGATGTGAAGAAATTTAACTGTGAAAATGTTTAAGAAATACGTAGATGACATATACAACTATAAATATACAGACGAGTTAGGGGCATATCGTGTTAACTAAATCCTCTATTGCATAATTGTAGGTATTTATCAAACCGGAAAAATATTATATGAGGAATGCACTATAAATCCGAACGAGATCAATAAAACCAAATATTTTCCCATTTCAAACATTCGTTGATATATATATAATATATATATATATATATATAGTTATTTAAAATTTGAGTCAGCTTTGCACACCAATATTTCGTGTATTTATTAGTGAGACGCAGGCGTGAGACGCAAGTGAATTTACAGACGCTACATTGATCTTGCTATTATCTGCTGTTTGACAAGAGCCATTTGACAGTAATACGCGTAACTCTAATCATAATCATAAATCATAATAATATATTAACTCGTTCGGATTTTGGCGCAAAATTTAAAATTGATTTGATATACAGCTACTGTGCAATGTATAAAGTATGGTCCTAAGTTTTAGTTTAATTTGCCCACCCAAAAAGACATTTTGAAAGAAGCATTTTGAAACTTTATTACGCCCACGTGAATGACGAATACTATCAAGACACGCGCGCCTCCCGCGTGGTGTATAAAGGTCAATACGTGGACGGAGCCATGCATTAATCTAGCTGAGGATTAGACAATTTCGGATCGGATTTTTAAACATTAGCCAATTGTCGGATTATAAACGTCCAATCCGATCCGATGTACACCTGTAATGCCTAGTCATAATCAGATGCTCACATGCGAAGTTGTCTATATTACACTTCAAACACCTTCTTTATAGTTTTCTTTAAAATTTGTTCAGCCAACAAGTGTCAATGGCCACCAAGCTTGATTTAGAGGCCTGATCATCCTAACTTCTCATCTTATTGAAATATTTTTTGATCATGTGAACAGTATGGCACTTGGGCCTGTAAATAGTAATTAACATTATGAATCAATTGTATTATACAACCCATGATATAAATTAGTGCTACATAGAACTGCCTTCATTGGTAAATCACTTTTATCTTTGTCCAGGGATAATCCAATTCATGAATTAAAACTGTCTTGGGTAAATAGAATTAAACACGATTTATTAAACACCGGGGCATTTCCCTACAGCACTAACTTTATATGGATCACATTGGGTCATATACAAGTCTGAAATATTTATTAAACATAATGTTCATGATTTCATGTCATATTTTTAAAACCAATGTTATTTAATAGACAAAATAGTAACTAAAGTCCCATGACAGTTGATGAGAGTTGACAGTCGCACATTGCTACAGAGGACGCAATTGGCGCAATGTAAATGGAGGAGTAGCTCAAGGGACAGTTTTGGGTCCTGTTCTCTTTCTTATCATGGTAAACGACCTACTTACTGAATGGCCTGATAGATGGAAATATGTCGACGACTGTACAGTCACCGAAAGTATCCCACCTCACTGTAACAGTAATCTCCAAGACCTAATAGACTATATTTATAACTGGACTATTGCAAATAATATGAAGCTCAATGTAGTTAAGGGTAAAGAAATGGTCATTGACTTTTCCAAAGAAAAACGGAACTTTACGCCTCTATGGATCAACGACGTACCAGTGAAACGCGTAGAATCAACTTGCATCCTCGGAATTACCTTTCAAAATAATATGAATTGGAACGACCACATACACCAAATTGTTAGGAAAGCTGGAAAAAGACTGTACATGCTTACGATTTTGAAAAGATCGAACGCCAATTTGAAGATATTGCTCATGGTTTTCACTTCCATCATAAGACCTGTTTTAGAATATGCCTGCCAAGTTTGGCATTTTAATATTCAACAATACTTAAGTGATCAGATTGAGAAAATCCAAAAACCGCGCACTAAGAATCATATTGCCTTCATTAAGCTATAGGCAGGCATGTGAACTGACCGACCTCCCATTACTCAAAACAAGACGTGATGAACTGTGTGACCAATTCTTTGTGAAGAATGAAAGTAACAGTAAAGTTTACGAACATCTGATCTGTAAAACTTCGTTAGATTATGACACAAGGTCAAAATGTAAATATAAAAACTTTTCATGTAAAACGGACAGATTTAAAAACTCGTTTTTACCACAAACTATCTCTAAAGAAAATAGTAAATAGATCTATTGTATTTTAAAATTTTTACTATACACATTCAAGTAGTTAATTCTTACTGTAAATATAATGTAGTTTTATATTGTAAAGACCGATGCAATTTAACCCACGGTTACAATGTCGGTTTATCTTAATAAAATATCAAATAAATATCAAATAGGGCATTTCAAGCTCTACTTTAACAAAATAATGGTTTGAAAGTGTTCCATCCTGTTCCAACTATGTTTTAACTTTTCAAATAGAATGCATTTGAATTTATGCTACATTCCAAAACGCGCACCATTTCCGCCATACATAGTTTGTATGGCTTTTGTATGGCTATGAATTGCCATGAATTTATACAAAAACGGGCAAAACGACAAAAGATATTTCATTAACTTTCTTACCCACAATTTAGCAAATCCTCTCGACCAGATGAGTCTGTTTTTAAGCGATTTTGTGAGCGAATTAGCCAACAAAGACACAATGACTGCACTAGAGGTGTGCAAATCCGATCCGAATCCGATCCGTTCGGATCTCGGAACCAAAATATTCATTTTGGATCAGATCGGATTGATAAAGTTGTTTCGTAGTCGGATTGGACTTCGATATCCGAAATAAAATTAATGAATTATCCACGCATTATTGTAAGAATTAATTACCCATTATCACGGTTGTTGCTGCATTATTCGTTTGATACTTCAATTGGATGTCACTTTGTCAGCTTCTTGACATGTATTTCTTGCTTTTATATTTATTTGGTTAAATATTTCAACTTGAATGAGAAATTTATTTATTACAGAATTCTTTGAATCGGATCGGAATTCTTTATCAAAAGTCGGATCGGATTTTAAACATTAGTCAATTGTCGGATTATAAACGTCCAATCCGATCCGATGCACACCTCTAGTCTGCACACAATGGCCACTTCAAAATCAAATTAAGTAACTGAATCCTTTTCAATCTTCACACATCCCAGGTGATTTGCAAAAAGAAATTGTAAATACTTTAATGAACATGTCTACTTTATAATAGTTTTGTTTGTGGAAACACCACATAAATTTATTACTGCAGTAATAAATTTACATGGTGTTTCCACAAACAAAACTATTATATATTTTATCGCCATGCAAACATACAAAGAACTTATGTCTACTTTTCCCGAACATGTCAAAAAATAGGAGTAAAAACAAGCTGAAAACACGAAAAATTAAAACAAAATAGTTTGATTTCAAACTGACAAAATTTGTCACCAGATCCCTGATATCCACACGGAAAGCCCACGTGGATGCATGTTTTTGGAGCCAGCAAACATTGCTGTCAGTGGTTGTCAATGGGAAAGAATAAGAAAATTCATAATAAATATTAGAAAAAAAGGGCAATAAACATCATTTTTTTTCAATAATTGACAAAAAATAATGGGAATGAATTATTTAGCTCATTAACGCCCAATGTGCCCGTATGCACCCTGAGATTGACAAGTGGGTAACGGACAATGCGCCCGCAAATGACACCTCAACTTGCGGGCATGATATTTGAGCACATGTTTATCGGGTTGCCTAGCAACGGATACAAAAATAGAACGTGAAATTCGAGCTTTTCAACAGTGTATCATGCAAGAAAATCGGTCAGAAACTCGCAAAGTTTTTCAAGTTTAAAAACTTAGTTTTTCAAAAATAATGAATAATGGAGATATTGTTGCAAAGAAGGATTTTACAGCAAGTTTTAAAAGCGAAAAAAGAAGAGGTTTTTGTTTGATCTACAACGAAAATTTGGCATGAAAGGAAAGCGAATGTATTGACGTTTTGGGCCAAGTTCTTCTGTGAACCATGTGCGAGATTTTCAGCCAAAAAGATGAGGATTTCTCCAAACTTTATTAAAAATAGAAGTCGGAAATCACAAGAAAGATGAATACGGAACACAAGTGAGCAGATACGATTTTTTAAAGGGTATTTTTGAGTAGAAATATGTGATCAAACACTCACAAAATTCGACCGCATTAATGTTGGTTGAATCTAGTTTAAAGTATCTTTTTAGACAAACTGTTTGTGCAAATTTGGGCACAATTTCGACTGTTTTCGTGACCCCATTGTTGGTCTTCTTGTTCAAGTTGTTATTTTAGCTAAAGTATGTTTCAAACGACACCAGATTAAATTACTGTGTGCGTACGTGCCCTTTTTGGCAAGAATACTTCGAGTATTAAATTACACTAAGTAAGTAGGATACTCCAAAATCACTGTTATATCTATGTTCATCAATTTAGTCTTAAAATGACAACTCGTTTCAGACATATTGTGGTTTAAAATAAGTGTATTGAATTAGTGTGCTTGCTTGCCGCGTGCGAATTTTCAAAAAGTCTGCACTTGAGTTCTAAAGCTTTTAAAACGCTTTTTCTATTGGGTTTTATATCCCCATAAAACTTTAAATTGATAAAGCAGATAATAATGTTGATGCAACCTCATTTTCTAGTAACTACACGTTGAATCAGAAGGAAAAGTTATCAAAAATAGGTCGCGACCGTTGCTTGCAAAATGCCGTGAAATTGAAGTCCTAACAAAAACATAGTTTAGCAGTTCTTTTGGGCCCATAGCTCACTTATTTATCATGAAATCGCTTCACTAGAACATTTTTAATAATGTCTATGGGAAACTTTGTGTTTGGACTGGCAAATTGATTTATAGAATCCCAAGGTAGTTGGGAAATATCATGAATAAAGTCGTTTTGTACAAAATTTTTAAAATCTCTAACCACGGCTGACATTTTCCCGATTTTGGTAACGTAAGTTTTCTATAATAGCAAAAATCAGACTGTGATCAGATATCCCAAGGTGAACAACACCAGACTGGGATATTTTCTGGTTTGTTAGTTAAAATTAAATCAATTAAAGAAGCTGACGTTGGCGTAACTCTCATTGGCTCATTGATAAGTTGATCAAACTGATAAAGAGAATTGTAATTTTCATCTTTGATTATCGAGCAGAGTTTTACTAACATCGCAATTCAAATCTCCTAAGATGATTAACTCTTTGTTTTCAGTCTCAAATTTGTATAAAAATTCTGCATACTCATCAAAGAAATTTATATCTGAGTTTGGTGGTCTATACCACGCATTAATTAAAAGTGATTTGTATGTACGGCCTATTAATTTCAATATATACCATCTCAAGATCTTTCGATATTAGATCTTTCCTTTCCGAGAATGGTATGTTATCACAGACATATAAAACCACATCACCCCCATATCTATTACGGTCTTTCCGAATAATATCATACCCAAATATATGTAATTCATTATCAGATATACTGTTATCTATTTTTGATTCATTGATAGCAAGAATATCAAAGGTGTACTCTGTAAGAAGTACTCATATTTCATCTATATGCTTTAATAAACTATTGATATTCAAGCTAGCAATCTTTATACCTTTCAATTTAGTTATGTCATGCAACAAATTGTCACAGATACCTGGATCCGTATCACACCTTGTTAATTAACGTAGTGTTCAAGAGGTCCCTGCTAGTAACGTCATCGGCAGTTGGTTCGCTATGGCATGAAAATCCTCTGTGGAACCTCTATGTGGTCTTCTTGGACTCACATGTTGTTCACCTTTGAGGAATCTAATAAAATTAGTTGCTAAAAATGCAGCTTACCACCATTCAAACATGTGTTGTTGATGCTGGAATTGTCAATAAACGAGATGTTATGATTTTTAGATAAATCCTCTAGTTTTTTGTTGACTTGTTTGATATTTTGCCCCACTTCGATATCTTGTCTCATCGTGATTCCAGATACTCCAATTTTTGAATCTGGAAATTTGGATTTAGTTTTAAGAACAAGGCTTTCAATTTTCTTCACACATACCTCAGCTGAATCGACTGGTATATTATTTGTCCCAGCGTGAATAATTATGTGCGAGGGCATCAAATTGACTTTGATTGTTCTAAGTTCCGCTTCGATGTCTTCTGCAGATTTCCCCGGATACATGTATTTGCTCACTTTCCTCTTTGCAAGCTTTTTTTTGGTCAATATGTTTAATGATGGAATCCCCAATAAGGACAATTTCTGATGACCTGTAATCCGTGTCTTTACTGTTTTCGTTCCAGAGTTTTCTGTTACAATTACGGTGTCCTTTGCAACTGGAGTTATTCCACTCTCAGATCTCTTTTGGCTCGATAAAGTGTCTTCGCCATTGTTATCGGTTTCACTTAAAATAGAGTAGCGATTCTGAGTTTGTATACCGCTAGTAGATACTGCTCTGCTTGAATTGTTTTCTGGTCACTGGAGAATTAGCACTTTGTCTTTTAACAGCATTCAATGGTCCGGTCTCTTCACATTTTTTACCTTCCTGTAAAATCTTTATTGCTGTAACTAAGCTGTTCATGTTGTTGTCCGAATGGTAGAATTGGTTGGTAGAATGGTTGGTAGAATTGAAATGGGCCTATAGTTTCCAGGTATATTTCGATGGCCACTTTTGTAGAGAGGTATAACTCTTGCCATTTTCCATTCATCAGGAAAGGAGGATAGAGTAATAGCCTGATTAAAAATATATGTCAACGAACCCACTACGACCAGTACGTGCATCTATCTTAATAATTTTACATGATATTTTGTCACATCCAGTTACTTTGTTGCTAGATAATCCACTCAGCAACTGATAGACATTAACATTAGTAGTAGTCTTGCATTTATGAGACCCTTAATTTTGTTTGTTATCCAAGGCACCTTACTGGACTTAGTTTCTTTGTGTTGTATTATTTACTTTCATTACATCATGATGTTGTCAGGTTTTGTAACTAGTGGGTGGTTTAGGGTCGTTGTTCTCATTAATATCTTCAACTGGCAAGCTGGATTCAGTAATGGGAATCTTCAATAGCTAGGGCAGAGAATCGGTTATCGGTCTCCATCAATGTTACAGTCTTGGTTGTTGGTTTAGTTGGGATTCAACTTGTTTTGTTTATTGCCATGCAAGCAAAGTTCTGATACTCTCGTTTTCCTCCTGTAGCTCGGTAACAGTTGCTGTTAAGCAAGTTATTTTGGCCACCATTTTGCTATTCTCAGCAACAAGCAAAGATTGCGCTCTTTTTTCACTCTGAGATTTTTCCTCGAGTTTACTAAGCCGAGACAGAACCATTTCCAATTTTGCTTCTATCTCACAATAATTGTCGAGGAAGGTATTTGTCGTATCGTTATTTTCTCGGGTCATGTTTGCTTTATTTTCTTCATGTGTGTTGTTCTTTAAGCGGCTTAAAAGGTCATCATCACCTTCACTATTTCGATCTTTTTCTTTTTGGATCCTTGCCATTTAAAGACGAATTTTTCATCTGACACAGTAAACATTTTTACATATGTACACATTTTTACACATTTTTACAAAATGTGTTATGTTATGATGTGCCACTTAACAATAAATTTTTCAAATTAATTCGGTATGAAAATAAAAAAAAAATCCGCCTCTAAAACGGTTAAAGGAGTGTAAGCCTGGCTGTTTGTTAAAAGTTAATAATTTGCAGCTACACCCTGGGGTGGTGAGAAATGAAGAAAAATACTCATTCCTATCCATGCATAGATGGAATTTCTATGGAGTCCCAAAGTCCCATAAAAATACAAACATTTTTCCTGAGAAAACACAAAATGTTTTTAGAAAATAAAAACACACACTTGTTTAAAAAAAACACAAACTGTTGATTGAAAGGTACTTTCATCTTGGATGAAAGAACAAAGAAATAAGCCTTTTTCTGATTGCTGAACAAAGAAATAAGCCTCTTTCTGATTGCTGAACATGGTATAGAAATACTTGGCAACTGAAACATATTTTAAAACAACATGGCATGTGATTGTCACAGGTTGGTAATTTCATGAGAAAATCTGAAACAAATGCTACAAATTGTTTGAAAAGATGGAGATATACATGCAAATGACCCAGCTACATTTGGCATATTAATGGTTACGATAAACTGAAACCTTTTGGATTTTGTATCCATACCATAGATGGCTACACACATCAAATATTGTGGTTAGAAGCTGGTTCATCTAATAACAACCCTGCCATTATGGCTCAGTTATGGAACCTTCATACTATTTGACCTTCCAGTAACACTTAAAATTGCCTTCAGAAAGGCCAGACACAATGTACTTTGTTCCTGATACTACAGCAACACATGATTTAGATGATAACAGTTGTTGTTGCAACAGAAATGGTCCAGTTAGATAGATCAATGCATAGTTGCCAGGGCTCGAAACTTGCAATTTTTGTCAGTATCCAAGTGGATACCAGCACCACCATAGAATCTAGTATCCATCCTTGAAATATAGTATCCCAGATTTGGATACTAGATATTCTATTTCCAGTATCCAAGCAAGGCAAAATATATATTTTTTTAAAACAAGTGCAATATTATAAACTCCACTCCTCCAATAATAATTATATATAATTTTCACATAATACTGTAAGTGTTTTATGTTTATAAAATAAACATTCAGACCGTAAGTAATATTATATAAATCATATAGATTATTTAGTATTATTTATTTGATAACAGAACAAATATGGTAAACTTAAAGTGTCGAAAATGTCTTTTTCATGATGCAATTAAAACTCAAATCCATAAAATTCTGAGTCTGACTCTGAAGAATCTGAATCAAACAATGAGCCTACATCTATACGCGATACTGGTGAAGCTGTTACAGCATTCGGGCCATTTGGCATATCTTGTTCTTCACTGTCAGAATGAGAAGCCAAACTCAATATTTTAAACATTGTTTTAAATGACTAAAGATTTTGAAAATCGCCAATATTCGTGCTTCGATTCCTGAATTTAAATATACATGTGGCATGCGAATATTTTGCAAATATTTTACGTTTTGCCTTGCAACCAGGCCTTCAGTTGCTAAGCAACAAACCAGGCCTTAGTTTGAATAATAAAAATATGTATTGAAATTCGAAAAATTGAAAATATACGCACTGCGACGATACAAAAGAAAGCACCGTTTGTGACAGGGCATTTTTTAAGAATTCATCAGTGGGGGGGCCATCTACAAAAAGGGACCATACTATACCGAGTGTGGAGCAATGATAGATGGTTTGTTGGTAACAAAAAGTTTGGTGTGGTATCGCACTTAATAGTGGGGGGGAGGGGGGGAGAACAGGGCCGTAGGAAGCTCTTTTCGTTTGGGGGGCTGAAAGCGAGGGCCGAAGGCCCGAGGAAATTTTTAAATTTAGAGTCTCTGAAATGCCATTTCCTGGACTTTGGAGAAGATTTGACAGATTTCTGATTGTCAGAAAACAGCGTTTTTAGTATGTCGAAATTTAGAATTCAGTAGTACTAAATGGGTGAAGGTATATTTAATTAACGATATATTGGATAATATACCCTGGAGAGGGTCTGGGGATTTCTCTCCCAGAAAATTTTTGTATTTTTCTACCCCTATGACTGCAATTCCCTGCATTTTCTGAAACAGATTTTTGGATATACAGCATTACATTATGCTGTAGATAGACTGAACCTTCAGTTAAGTACTTCATAGTATGTTTATGTAGATACGACCGAACTTGGCCGTCACTTAGGGAGCCAGCTTGATAAATGTAGAGTTCCCGACTCCCACGAAGCGCCACCATTGTTGGCACAGAGCGAAAAAAAATTGAAAATTTTGCGTCTCTAAATCGTCGGAAATGGCATTTTCAAAGTCTTGTATACGTCTTTTGTTAGGCCCTTTCATTAATTCGTTCATTATGATTTGCGAGTCTATGATATCCGTGAGTCATGATGGATTATTACGAGAAATGTTATCAAAATATCGATTACAGATATTTGATTATATGTATATATGATTTCAAATACTTCTAGTTTTGAAATCAAATTGTTTTTTTTTGCTGAGGGGCCAAAATTACCCCCCCCCTTATAAAACACTTGGTTGAGGGCCTGTTGCCCCCTGCGGTCACTAACTTGTCCAACAACTCAAATCTATAAGGTCTAGGAAATGCAATCCACTGCCTGGGAAATGTTTTAAAATCTAAGGTATTTATTAAACATAAAAGACAGGACGTAAGATTCACAAAGCAAATTTCAGTTACTAGAATATCAAACCTCCCTTCTAAATTCCATGTTTTGCTTATATTTTAGAGAAAAGGGACTTTGACTGGGGGGGGGCCAAAATGGTTGAGTGGGGGGGGGCCACCATAGGGGCTGGGGGGGCTTTGGCCCCCCCAGTTATATAGTTAAAAAATGCCCTGGTTTGTGAATTTTTTTTTTAAATATTCTGCCAAAATCCGTAGACATTGAAGTTCAAAAACATGCCAAACGTCTAGATGATTATCTACTATCGCAATTTCTAAGTTTTCCTAGTATCCATTTGGGATACTGAGCTTATGATACCCAGTATCCCAAATTAAAATCTGATATCCCGTGGATATCAGGATACCGCAAGTTTCGAGCCCTGGAGATTTGCTCTCCATCATTTAGCAAACCAGCATTAATTCTAATGGAAAAAAGTCAACTATTCCTTTTGTGTAATGAAGTTGATGATGCAACAGCACTCTATTTAATTTCATAAATCCATTGTTACTATTAATATATATATATATATAAAATCATACCAATAGTTAAGAACTATGAAAATTGCTTATTTAGTTTGGTTGTAACAGGGAGAACATTCTGTGTTGCATTGTATAAAGTAAGATCATTTCTATTTTGAAGACATAGTCCATTCTCATCCAGCCATCAGTTAGGGACAGGATGAGACAATTTAGTTTTAGTGTTCTTAAAAAATTACACAAAGTTTTTGGCAGTTGGCTATGAGACTGCATGTTGCATCCAGTAAAGTCTGGTGCTTCACTATAGTGTAAATCAGGATAAATTATTCCACTAATAAGATATGTTGAAGCAGCTCAATCTTCTCAGCCGAATAGTTTGGAACACTACTGTGCCATACTATATATATCCATATTCCAATATAAAGCACAAAAGGCAATGTATATATTTACTTTACTATACGTCTTCCAGAGGCATTCCATTTCATGTAAGAGTAAATATGTGTAGGTGTTTTGAAGCCTTCCTTAAAATCATGTCCTTTTCAATTTGAGCAATTGATTAATGAACCAACACGAATTACGTCCACAACAAAAACGTTAATAGACTCAGCATTCACAAATAAACCAGAATTAATAAATGTCCAGGAATCATTCATCTATGAATTAGTGACCATAATTTAATTTATATTCAAAGAAAAATTTCCATTCCTCATAACAACCCAATTCAAGCATTACAGTGTGAATAACTTTAAATATGTGGGAAAATATTTTGGGATACCATGCTCGATCCGAATATAATTTGGGAAAAATGGAAAACAACATTTTTATCAATCGCTGATTTTCACACCCCCTAGACAAGTGAGTATGTTCCATGGATTACAGATAATATTAGACAAGTTATGCAACAAAGAGATTTTTGGAAAAAAAGCGGTTAAAACTGGATCAAAACAATTTCATGATGCCTATAAGTGAACATGTAATGATCTAAACAGATTGATTAGAAATACAAAAACAACTTATTTTACAAACACTTTGAATGAATACGAAAAAAATCCTAAAGAAATGTGGAAAACAATCAATAAACTTACAGGGAAAAAGTCAAAAACAACTATAATATCTGAAATTCCAACATGACAACCAAAATGTGACAAAACCAGGAGATCACAAATAGCTTAACTCGCATTTCAATGCGGTAGCATCAAACCTAGCAAAAGATATAGCACAAAGTTCCAAGATAGCAGAGTCTTACTTAACATACCATTCCAGTGACAGCCAACGATGCAGCGACGGGTATCAATGAAGATCAGCATAAGGCGCAACAGCATCCGATGGCACAAGAGTCAAGTAGACCAAGACGAGTGAGAAAGAAACCCAATTATATTTGAGAGACTATGACATGAACTGAATAAACAGTGAATGATTATTATGATCTTATTCATTAACTTTAACATTATGAACTTAATTAGTGCTCTAAATGTTTTTTAATATGAAAAAAAGAACAAGAATTTACATTTATAACATAGGTAGTTTTAGTATATTCATTATCTAGCTTTTCTATAAGAGAAAGGATGTTATGTAATTAATCATGTGACATGTGTCACATGACTTTGTATATACATATTTGGACACCGAGTATTATTATTGTTATATTCACATAGTAGCATGCTAGTAAAAAAGTAATAAAAGTTGCTTGAAAACATAAGAAAAGTATTTAAATTGCTTTCAACAATCAAAACATCCAAGTCAGCAGGCCATGATAGAATATCCAGCTCCAAACTTAATACGAGATAGACATTGTCTTAACTTGTGTTATGGCGAGTACTGTGGTTGTCCTTTCCAAATCCCGAATTTTCCTACAAAATACCAACAAACAGAATTGCAACACTTATGCCAAGACAGTCATTATTTTAGACAGTGAAATCATATATGTTCGCTTAGCTCCTGTTTCATTGAGTACTGTCACTGAGTACTAAGTGTCACAATATAGAAAGCCCGGCGGCACACACGTCTAACAATTACATATTCATTTGCAGCCAGGGCATTTTTTAACTATATAACTGGGGGGGCCAAAGCCCCCCCAGCCCCTATGGTGGCCCCCCCACTCAACCATTTTGGCCCCCCCAGTCAAAGTCCCTTTTCTCTAAAATATAAGCAAAACATGGAATTTAGAAGGGAGGTTTGATATTCTAGTAACTGAAATTTGCTTTGTGAATCTTACGTCCTGTCTTTTATGTTTAATAAATACCTTAGATTTTAAAACATTTCCCAGGCAGTGGATTGCATTTCCTAGACCTTATAGATTTGAGTTGTTGGACAAGTTAGTGACCGCAGGGGGCAACAGGCCCTCAACCAAGTGTTTTATAAGGGGGGGGGTAATTTTGGCCCCTCAGCAAAAAAAAACAATTTGATTTCAAAACTAGAAGTATTTGAAATCATATATACATATAATCAAATATCTGTAATCGATATTTTGATAACATTTCTCGTAATAATCCATCATGACTCACGGATATCATAGACTCGCAAATCATAATGAACGAATTAATGAAAGGGCCTAACAAAAGACGTATACAAGACTTTGAAAATGCCATTTCCGACGATTTAGAGACGCAAAATTTTCAATTTTTTTTCGCTCTGTGCCAACAATGGTGGCGCTTCGTGGGAGTCGGGAACTCTACATTTATCAAGCTGGCTCCCTAAGTGACGGCCAAGTTCGGTCGTATCTACATAAACATACTATGAAGTACTTAACTGAAGGTTCAGTCTATCTACAGCATAATGTAATGCTGTATATCCAAAAATCTGTTTCAGAAAATGCAGGGAATTGCAGTCATAGGGGTAGAAAAATACAAAAATTTTCTGGGAGAGAAATCCCCAGACCCTCTCCAGGGTATATTATCCAATATATCGTTAATTAAATATACCTTCACCCATTTAGTACTACTGAATTCTAAATTTCGACATACTAAAAACGCTGTTTTCTGACAATCAGAAATCTGTCAAATCTTCTCCAAAGTCCAGGAAATGGCATTTCAGAGACTCTAAATTTAAAAATTTCCTCGGGCCTTCGGCCCTCGCTTTCAGCCCCCCCCCAAACGAAAAGAGCTTCCTACGGCCCTGTTCTCCCCCCACCCCCCACTATGAAGTGCGATACCACACCAAACTTTTTGTTACCAACAAACCATCTATCATTGCTCCACACTCGGTATAGTATGGTCCCTTTTTGTAGATGGCCCCCCCACTGATGAATTCTTAAAAAATGCCCTGTTTGCAGCGTATTATTATATTGCAATAAGCTCTTGCAATTACACTTTGTTATGTAAAATGAAGTAGAAAATATCTCTTGTTTACATTACTTGCGCAAATAATTCTCAATTATCTAAACACATGGGCTTAATTTCAATCTAATATCGTATAAATTGCTTTTTTTAAGAATAACTGGAATATATATTTAAAAACAGATATTTCATAGGAGTATGGTCTTATTTATACAAAAGCGATGAACTTTGATTGTACAATTCCACCAGAGTAAGACCATGATTGTCTTATATATAACAAAGCAAATATAACTTGAGCAGCTTAGCAGAGCCACCTTAACTAAAGGCGTAAATAATATGCACCAACACATATACCAATGATATTTGATATTTTTATGCAGAATAAATTAGCCCAAGTATCTTGTACAAGGTTAAGTGCATTTTTCATGGAAATGAACATGTAGCAATTTTCAGACTGTAGCTAAAGGCATCAGTTTCACAATTGTGTTCCGCCTTTTTCTAATTTTGGATATTTTAATAATAAGCAGCAATTCACTCAAACGATTCAGAAATATATTGCAATCGTCAAAGAAATCGCCATATCAGTGGAATGACGAAATAAACAAAAATTTCCAAACACTATTTTTTAGAACAACTATTTTACTGTATAAAAATGATATTTTCATAAATATATCTGAAAACCAGCAGGAACACAACTCAAAAGCGTGAAGCTACCACGCTTTAAGATTTTCCTGAATAATTCTTACATTATTTTATTGTTTGTCAATTTTACAACTTTACCATATTGTGCATGAACTGGCCAAACATTTTGTGAAAATTTGATGAAAATCGGACTGATTTTGAGCGTGCAGTAGCGATTTGTCGCAAAACGCCAAAAAGGGTGTCCTGTAAAAGTCCAGCAAAGTGCTTTTAAAAAGAAACTATTTCTATTGACAACTTTAAAATCCTCTCCTCTTGTTCAGATGACCAAGAACTCCTTATTCATGAAAGCCTTCTTATGATTCTTATCTCTAAAATGAAACCCTCTCTCAACATTCAAGGCAGTTCAATTCCTCTTCATCTATTCTGATCTCTCTCTTTTTTATGTTTTGTATGTGTTGTCATCTAATTTGTATGTTTTTATTTTTGTTCGTCACTTCCCTTCATTACCCTTTCTTATCCTTATGTTTTGTGTACTTCATACTCTCTTGTAATTTAATATTGCTATGATAGCTTTTCTTTATGCTTAATTACTCTTACGGCTTGTAATTTAATATAGTCTGAAGATGTCTTGAGTTAAGACGAAGCGTTACTAAAGCCCCGTTTACACTACACACAATTTTTGGTACAGCACGGATAAAATTGGTACCCGTACCACTCTTTTTGGTTCTTGGACTATCTATTTAGCTAAGTCCTGTTTACACTACGCTCAATTTTTGTACCGTACCACTTTTTGGTTCTTGGACTACCTAAATAGGTAGTCCAAGAACCAGAAAAGTGGTACAGTACCAATTTTATCTGTGTCGTACGAGAAATTGAGTGTAGTGTAAACAGGGCTTAAATCTTTATTAAAAATTTTAAATTTAATGGTTTATGACTCTCTTAAAAGCACTTTACTGGGCTTTAATATTTATTATTTGAATAATTCAGACATAAAAACACACAATAGTGAGCTTTATATTATATATCAAAGGTCGCTATGATATATCATATCGTATGATATATTATACTATACAACGGCCAATTGTAGAAGAAAAACTAATAATTTACTCATCCCTACTTTTGATTTAGGAAATGACAATTCAATGCTTGTGTCTACTTCATATGATGGAACTTTAAAGATCTGGGATGTAGAAAAGCATGAAGAAATTCGTACCCTCAGTGGTCATCAAGGCAATATCTATAGTGTTGCTGCAAGTTTGAAGAGACTTCCTGTTGAAGTAAAGAACATATACTGAGATGTATGCAAATGTTCATATCTTTAGATACAAAATATAAAAATTATACCCTGAGGTTGAGTGCATTCAGTTGACTTTATATGTGAGACGCCCCTAAGTAGATTACATATTAATTACATCACATACACATTGTGTTACAAAATGGCGGATGGTCATGCGAACAAGTGCCCCTTAAATTCTGACTTCAATTCTCAAGTTAATAATTTAAGGGATGAAAAAATGTAAAGATGGGAACTGTGTTTTACCGCCGAAAAGTAAGTTACAATTAACCTGGAAGGGTGATTTTACCTCCTTAAAACAGTTTGTATGTAACATTATAAAACTCCAAAGCATTTGCATGGAGTCAACCTGATGGAGATAAAAAAGTTTTCAGCGGTGATTTGTTTAGCATCACATGGAGAAAAAGTAAAAAGATCTTGAACTTTGATGGTAAAGAATCAAACATGGTTAAAGGACAATGGCAACGAAAATTTTTATTGGCTATTTCAATCCTACTTGACTTATGAAAATATTATCATTTCCTTCTCGAACATTTTAGTCTACGAGTAAAATGCATGCAAACTTTGTGTTTCGCCGCCATCTTGGAAAATTTTTTTGAAATATTATCTCGAAGGTCAGTGAACTTTGTGACGTCATTGGCTGAGTAGCACCAAAACAACAAGAGAGTCAAGAGAGAATTCTATTTTGTGCGTGTTATGTTAGCTAAAAATATGTCGTTTTGAGCGTTATACTGGCCAACACTCTTTGCAATCAAACAAGAGAAGTCTACACTATCAGACTACAATTTACAATACAGGTAATTGATCATAAAATACCGGGTGTCCCAAAAAAAAGTACTCCGGTTTGATTTATTATAACTTCTAAACAAGTAAAGCTATCAAACAGAAATAACTTGCATTAAATAGAGGAAGGATTAACTTAGATTTTGATATATTACAGTTGTATTTTGCTTAGAAATTCACGGAGATATTAATGTTCAAAATCAGGAGCATATTTTGGGATGTGTCTAAAATTAGCAAAAATCGGCATATTAAATATTAACTCCAGCGTTTGTTCGCTTAGTGACATATCAGGCTAACTTGCTTTTCAGCGAATTGTCGTTAGGGTTTGTGATGGATATATGGCGTAGATTTAGATATCTTACATGCAAGTTTTAGCTGATTGTTCCCTGAAATATGAACGTTCGAAATTATGCAAGTATTTAATAGGTCTTTACAAACTTATGCACCTATCAATGTTTTCCCCCTGAGGGGGGGGGGGTGCGGGCAACCCACGGGAATTTTGACATTTTTCAAATTTTGTTGTCAAAATCCCCACTGTTGGGCAAGGAATGGCTGTCAAAATTCCCCACTATATTCCTAAGATAACAAGGCACACACATGTTTTCCAATGCGAACATACAGTCTATACTGGTTTAAACTTGGTAAAAATTGAGACACTGTGTATAAAAGGCTATAAAATACCTTTTTCGATGAAACTTGATCGTGCTTCTCCGCCATACTTGTTACCAGGCCTTTCAATGTCAAAACCGCGCAAACTTTCAAGATGGCGGATGTCAAAATTTCCCGACTATGGGGGTTGATGCATAGGTCAAATTCCCCTCACTAGGGCTTCATAGTGTGGTCAAAGTCCCCTGGGTCGCCCGCACCCCCCCTCAGGGGGAAAACAATGATAGGTGCATTAAAGGCACATGAAAGACCATGCAAGACAGGCGCTTAAATTTTTCTTAAATAGGCTAATTCTTTTTATGTTTTTCATGGGTTTAAAACAGAGTTGATTATATTTCTCAGTTAGAGCAGGATGAATATCATTCTTTAATGAAGGAAATAATATTGCTTTTTGCAAAGACATATCACAGTATCAAAGCTATTTTGTTACGTTTTGTTCCAAAAATGTTGGATGTCTCTTGGGAGTTGCTTGTTTTGTCTTATGCAGGAGTTGTATATATGGTTTGATTATGTTTCATTCTCAGTTTATTCTGAACTTGCCAAGATTAAGAAAAGGCAAAAGAGCCGGTTTGGGTGTTCTTAACAAGATTTCAGAATGTTGCAGAAGTTAGAAGAGCTTCGCAATTCCATTGTGACAGCATGCCCTAATTCAGAACTACGAACGATCCATGACGATCCTTCGCGATGCAGTGGTCTCATGAAATAAGGAAACGTATTCGTGCTAGGAACACACGCGGATTTCGGACGAATAAATCTTGCTTGTATTTTGTAGATAATAATACTTTGTTTCATAATAAACAATTTGTCATGTGTCATTTATTTACTGGTATAATATTGCATGTTAAGTTTTAGTCGGGCAAATCTTGATTAATATTTGATACTCCGTTTTTTGCATATTTTAGAAACATCCAGAAATATGCTCCCGATTTTAAACATTAATATCTCCATGAATTTTTCAATCAAATACAACTGTAATATATGAAAATCTAAGTTAACCCTTCCTCTATTTGATGCAAGTCATTTCTCTTTAAAAGCTTTACTTGTTTGGAAGTTATTACGAATCAAACCGGAGTACTTTTTTTTGGGACACCCGGTATTGCATTAGTATTTGCCTTGTTACACTCGAATTTCCGCGCTTATTTAACACAGAGTAGGATATATACTATGAGAAATAGTGTTACAAACAAGTTACATACTTGGTAAAACTTTTCTGCCTTCTGTTTTGGCTCAAAATGCACTACGCATGTAATATACGGTATTGTTTATAGTCATGAGATTGTGTTTACCCAGCCAATGACATCAAATAATGTATTTTGTGGCATAAATTAGCATACATGCTTATTTTCAAAATGGCGGACACAACTGTTCAAATTTTCTCAAATTCAAGCAAATTTTCTCAGCAACTAAATGCGACAAACCGGCCAAAATATGTAATTAAATATTCGGTAAGTATACCTAATAGATATAAGTAATAAAAATTTTGGTTGCCAATGTCCTTTAAACGGTTGTTCTGTATGGAATTATGTGACGCTTCAGAACTCTACACAAGTTGATCAGAGAGACGAACCTGTCAATAAATGCAACGATGCTGACTCTTGCAAATGCAATAGGCTGTCTGTGGATATCGAGGGAATCCAGCTAGAGCAAGTAATACTGCAAAGGGATATTAAGGTAAATGACTGCGATTTGGCAAATCTCAATGATATTGTGAGTGAATTTAGGAGTGAATTTCACGATATACAACAACGATTAGATAAACACGATAATATGAATTTAACTATACTAGCTGAGTGCCGTGGGGGCTTGGGTTTACTGCAGCATTGTTCAAACTGTACGGAGTTGAATGGTATTGACAATTCAACCCAAACAATAGAGATGGAAACAATAGAAATTGAATGTGTTAAAACCAATCAACACACTACCCATTGTCCAGATACACTACCTGATACAATAAACGATCAAAATCTAAACAATAGTGTACTTATAATGCATAACACAACTCCCTTGACTTCAGAAATAAACTATGACAATATAATGGAAATATATCAACTCCATAAAGAATTAACTCCTGAGGCTACATCAATAGATTACATCAATCGTGAACAGCATAATCTAACTCTGTTAATCGAAACCCTAATTTAAACACAAATTATCATAGCACTTATAATATAGGAGATCGGCATTTCCAATGGACCTTTAACCTTATAACTAAAATTTTGATCTAGACAAAACTTTCATCACAGCTTGAAAGAGCATCACAAAATTAGTAATATTCCGAAGTTTCGTTGCGAAATGTTGTAAAATGTGGATAATAAAGCCCTGCGAAGTTTGCAATTTTCAGTCATTTTAGATTACAAACAGGAAATTGATACCCAAACACCCGATTTGGGTATCAATTTCCCGTTTGTAATCTAAAATGACTGAAAATTGCAAACTTCGCAGGGCTTTATTATCCGCATTTTACAACATTTCGTAACAAAACTTTGGAATATTACTAATTTTGTGATGCTCTTTCAAGCTGTGAAGAAATTTTTGTCTAGATCAAAATTCTAGTTATAAGGTTAAAGGTCCATTGTCCAGACCCAAAATTTATACCGGCTGATTACTGCCAACCTATCCCAACCCGTATCACCAAAGGAAACATCCAAAGATAAATTATAGGAAACTATCTAGGAAACTAACAGTCAAACAGACTGGCAAGTTACAATGTGGAAATTTTACATGGAAATCGGACGAGGTTTTTCGAGTACATACGAGGCGAAAAGACAAAATGAAGTTTTATCATTATTATTAGATGAGGTCATGGATAAGCCCTGTCGTAATGCTGATGTTAACAACTTAGTATGTAATAATCATCATCCTTCCCACTATTGTTCTACTATTGATCCCAATTTGGGGAGTAATCCACACAATCTTATCCACATTAATCCAGAAGAACCATTACAAGATGCTTCGCTAAGTAATAATGGTGTAAAATTTTGTCTCTTAAATGCTTGTCTCTGAACAATAAGTCAGCTCAGTTTACTGGCTTTATATGTGAGCACACACCTGACCTTGCCACAGAGACATGGTTCACGGATAAAGAATCTGCTGTTAAGACCCGATCTACTCTGTCAAGCTATAAGGTTTTTGATGAACCTTGCCTCAATGGTCGAGGAGGTGGTACTTGATTATTTAAAAATATTTCGGTTACCAAAATTGCCGGTGGCGAATGACAATCGTTTGAATATTTTGAATGGAAAGTTAAATTCGCCTCTCATAGAATATCAGTCATTGGTATAATAAGCTTTCGCATGCTCTGATTGGCTAGTTGATTAGTAAATCTGAGGCATTATTTACTACCTGGGTAGTACTTGAAGTGTAGTAATTCATACCTGGGTAGTAACTTGAAGTGTCCAGGCAGCTAAACACGCTTCAAAGCGCTCTATGCAAATTCACAGAGCCTCGGGGAAGTAGCAGTTCTGATCAGTTTATATCTGAACCACACTTCCCCATTAGGAAAAGGTCTAACCACAGAGGGAAGGGTATGGGATGAGTAGAGGGAAGCCCACTAGGACCCACAGCGAAAGCTCCCTGTCTAGCACCTCACTAGGCCCTAAAGATCGGTGATCCTAACACTAGGAATATTCTCCCCTCACTGACATGTCGGGATCCATTTTGATCAAGCTTTCACCAGAAGTATGAACTGTGAGATTGAGTTCTTTCAGCTCTTTTTCACTAAGGAAATGCTTCAGGAGGTAGTTGCCCATACCAATACATATGCCCACATGGAAATAACCCAAAAATCATCCTCGTACACTAATAAACAAGAGTCTTGGACGTCCACGAACCTTGAGGAGATTGAGAGGTTGATTGCCTTTTTAGTATATGCAGGTTTGGTAAAGGTTGAAAGTGAGACGAAAAATTATTGGAGTGTAAAAGCCCAATATCATGGTCTGTGCAGAAGAGAAATAATTTCTAAGTTTAGGTACAAAGCCGTTATGGCATTTCTGAATATGGTAGATCCTGTCACTGAAGACTGCAGCAATAAACTGCATCAACAACTGTACCGGCCATCACAGAATATTAATGTTGACAAACACACTGTTGAATCAAGGAATAGGTTGGGGATTAGGCAGTTCATGAAAGATGGCCTACTATGTGGGGGATAAATCTGCGGGTCGCTGCAGACAGTCCTAATGGTTATATTGCGACTTTGAGATTTATACAGGAAGACGTCCATAGATTTATCGCAGCATGGATTTGGGTATGACATGGTGATGTGATATAAGTTTGGTTACAGTCTTAGGTCTTTTGTGGTCCAATATGTGCCTTGGTTACTCCTTACTCCCAACAACTACTAATGATGACACCAGCCCAACAACACTTGGTCATGCTATATGCAAATATTTTCATGTTCTAGATTGTGAAAACAATCAATTTCTAAAGAAATGAGTAATGATTATTTAAAATTTGAATAGCAAGACCAAATTTTCAGGCTGGTTATGCCACTGATAACTAAGTCAATGGTGTACGGATTATCTAAGAATGTATATAGTAACCGTAGAAATAAAGACATTTTGCAAATAGTGTAAAGGTTTTTTTGTGGGCATCGCAGACTTATTTTGGTGCCATACTATCCTTGGAGAGTAAGAAATATTGGAAATTTGTATTGATAATATGTTGCAGCAATGAAAAAGGACCTTTGATAAGGGTATTTGTTTCATGTGAGCACAAAATGTAAATTTTACTCCACTACATAGTTTATTAAAAAATTCAATAAAAATACTTCCATTTATGCTACATGCCTGAAATTTCGGGTACTTGTAGATCACAACCGTGTAGTTCAGTTATTAAATTTTTGACATATTTGAAATTTGAACCGGTAAATACATTTATGCATAATTGCAACATTTTTTTATATCATAATTTATACAACTTTATGCACGTAAATCGTTAACCAAGCTCGGGATGAAATTGGTATCGTTGGAAAGTGGAAGTCCTCCTCTTTCGAACGATGCAATTTCTGTTTCCGTACGATATATAGTTCGAAAGGTATATATATTTAAAACAACACCACTCAAAATTGCTACTTTTCGACCGGATGAGAATCAGTTAAGGAAATTGATCAAAAATTTCTAGTGATACACCTGAAGAAATTGGAAGAAGAAAAACAGCGTGCAAAGTGTACAAATGGAGGATATATATCAATCAATATCAATGAACAAGAGGCTTAAGAAGCTTGACAAATTAGACATGATCGAGGAAAGAATCAAGGGGATGGAAAGCAACCTTAAAGACGTCAAGCACTTGGTTGAATATGCTCATGGTGAAATTGAGGATATGAAAAATGCGAACAGCCAGAAAGAAAAAACTGAGAGAGAAACAATGGGACGGCTCGAAAAACTCGAGCAGAAAATATTGCATTACAAAACAGCATTTTCAAAAGGCGATAGTAGTAAACCGTGTCCTATAGTGGTGAAATTTAATCGCTACCAGCAAAGAGAAGATGTGAGAGTGAATGCACATAAATTAAAGGGTACAAAGATAGGTATATCTGAACAATTTCCCAAAGAAATTGCAAATGTAAGGAAAAAGCCTTTACCCTGAACTTAAGAAAATGAAAGCCCAGTGGGAAAAAGCCAAACTGATCACAGACAAATTGATTATTGATGGCCAGCTGTTCAAGCCGACTGGATTTTAACAAGAAACAAGTCACAATGGTATCAAATTACGATAATCTTCACTTATCTTTATATATGTCGAGGCATAATATTATTATTATATGAACATTATTTCTTAAATATTCTACAGATAATAACTAGATAGATGTCTCAAGGTAACATAAGCCGGAAGCATTACGCAGATATTTCATGTGATAAACAGCTAAATTATACTAATGTAAAAACGGGAAACATTTGTCAACCTTATTTAAATGATGTCTTGCCTTTTCAAATTCTTTCAAACATGATTTCCTTTCAAGTATAAACAAAAATAGCTTGAGTGATAGAGATATGGATAGACTGACTCTACTTAAATCAGAGTTAATGGAGTGGGATGGTTTGGAAACTAGCTTACTTCCGGTCAACAAGCTATTGTTCTCAAATTACATGACGACGAACGACTACAGCTAGTTGGTGTTCAATTTCAAAATGGATATTCGAGACGAATATATTATCGAAGAATCCTGCTGTGTTTTAAACAGTGGAGAAGCAATAGAGAGTGAAATTGAAAAGGATGATCTTGATTTGTTAGTGGATGCTTTGGATAAAGATTTAGACTATTTTTTTGACAATGAGGAGTTCACAAACGACGTGAATGATGCGGTCGACGAGATTGAAATTCGCCCAGAATATAATATTCCCTGTCCAAACTGCGAGAAAACATGCAAACCGGAAGGTGGTCTTACCCGCCATATACATGCAAAACATGAACAAAAACGGAACGAAAGTACAATGCAGTTTTTGACTTTGAAAGATGTTGAGAATATGTTTACGACAGCTATCGCCAAAATTACTGAGGACCTTTACAGAGAAACGGCATGCATTTGTACGAACCTGAAACCTCAATTATGCCTTGACCACATGGATAAACTTTGTCGCCAGTTTATGAAGAAATCAGACCAGGATTGTCTCGTACATAGACTATACAAACTCCTGGTGGACGAACCAGTGAAACTCGTCATCGTATCATCCACAAAGGATCACAAGTGGTCACATTTGCAAATTGTAACTGCTGTGAATCTGCTTTTCATTCACATACCTGAACTACTCGTAGCTGCGTGCAAGGATAAGCTAGGACGAGAGAGCAAAACACCTGAAGCTGAAATTACTGAGAAGGAATATGGCCCTCTTTCATACTTAATGGGATCGGTCATTTCAAAAATGTTTAGAACCAGTAAATATAAAACGAATTCTTGATCTGGTAACGAAAATAATGAGGAACTTCAAATTTTATTACAATCCTTGTTCCTGATTACATGTCAATTTCATTGCCCAAACATGACATGGGGCGTGGCAAAACGTACGTTTCGAAACGCCAAACGTACGTTTTGAAACATAAAACGTACGTTTTGAAACGTAAAACGTACGTTTCGAAACTGCACGCCGCAAGCTTGAACGCAAATGGTAATACCATGTTGGTTTATCTCACTCTGCATTCTTTTTATTCTGCTTTCAAGCTGGGTGCACTTTAACTTTGCTTCCTTTAAGTTAACACGCGTGTCTTTCAAAGTAGCAACTAGTCTTTCCTTTGTTAGGCATGATAGTGGTGCTTTTGCTTTAGCAGGGGTAGCACTGCTATTGACAGAATTTCTGCTTGACTCATGAATACATATGTCACATAGTTGAAAATCATTTGATGTGGATGAAAACAAAACACGACTGCTATGTGGCGACAATATTCAATTGTATAATAAGGACAAGAATCTTTTGGAATCAGTGGTACAAACATGATTTTTCCACACTTTCAAATTTGGCTGTTCAGAAACAATTCCTTTGCAAATATTTTGTCATATGATTTTGCCACAAAGTGTCTTAATGCTACAGTACTGCATGGATCGCCCATCCAAAGTGTAGATGCAATGATCATCTGGCAGTGCCCAACCATAAACAAGAACAGTGTATTTTAAACTGTTGTCAACAAGTACAGAGAATTTTGCAATTAAAAATCCACTTTCTTTAAACTCTATAACAGTTGTGTTTGATACCCTGTGCCATCCCCAACCACTAAAATAAGGATACCCACCAGCTTTTTTCAAGTAGCTATCAAGGTTAGCAAGAGAAGAATAAACCACTTGTTCAGTAACATGCCTTTCAGCAGGTTCCTTCCTGGATGTATCAGCATTTGAACTTGCACCAATATTATCTAAGCTTTTCTTTGGAAGGTTTTCCGTTGGTATTGAGCCTGTTTCAAGGGATTTTCTTTTAGCAAAACGTTCAATATACTCATCCTTAAAATGAATTTCGCAAATATATATACTGTTGTTTTCTATTTGCTTTTTTAAATCGGCATCCAGCTGTATTGTATGCAATATGGCGCCTATCCAACCCTTTCTCGCTTCTTGCTTTCTTTGCGAAGTAAACTCGCTATCTGAAGAACGAGGCACAGGAATTTGAAATAAACTTACATCTTTATACCGTCTACTATGAAAGCAATTGTAAAAAGCGCAATTTGGCATATAATTTATAGTTCTTTGTAAACACGCATGAATGAACTCTACATAATCTACATATATTCACGTAAACACTGTAGTCGTTCGTCGTCACGTGACTGTAAAATTTGTGCTCATAAAATTTATGCAACATAATCATTACGTCATCTAAAAATAATTAGAAGTTTCCAAACCATCCCACTCCATTAACTCTGCTTAAATTTAATCCATTCAATTTGAATAGCAACATAGCATTATGTGATAATAATGTAGTCTTAGATAATGTTTTAGAAGTAAAATAACATGTGAATACTTTTTACCGGCAAACTTAAAACAGGCAAACTGGATAAAATTAGATCAAGAAGATCTTTTCTCCATCATATGCTTAAACATAAGAAGTACTGCAAATAAGTTCGACATGTTTGAACAACTTATCAACTCAACAAAAGAAAATTTCAGGTAATTGGCCTGACAAAAACATGGTTAAACGATGGGAATTGCAAAAATTTTAACCTACGCGGATGATTTTATTAGTTAAAATAGACATGGGAAAAAATGTGGAGGAGTTGGGTTATATGTCGCTGAAAAATTGCAATATAAACCTCGTCAAGATTTCAATATTAACAGAGATGAAATGATTGAATATACCTTTGTTGAAACACAGTTAATAGAAGGGGGATGGTTAGGCTAGCCGGCAAACTTCAAAGGCCTCAGAAATTTATGTTGGGAACCAATTTTTATTTTTGTCACGTGATCAATAAGCAGTATGCCAGAGTGAAAAACAATATGGTGATATAGTGAAATTTGCTACAATCCAACATGCCGTTCAGCTATGGTGGGGATCGATGAAGAAGCTGACATTGGCGACATTCAGGACTTTCCCGAGGATATCACCAAAGAAGATTTAGAAAATATAGGTGAGGAGTTAAACGAGGATTTCAATCTAAATGTATCGCTCACAATCTTAGACACAGAAACGGACGAACTCAACGCTGAGTTTCTTGAAGCCGTAACAGAAATTGAAGGCAAGAGATAATTTCCTTGCTCGTATTGCACTAAAGTTTGTAAGTCGAAAGGTGGCTTAACAAAACACACAAATTCCAAACACCACGAAGCAAATGTCAATGTGCCAACTGAATCAGACAAAGTTACAGAAGTCAATCTTTTTTCATTAGAAAATCTAGCTGGCATTGTCGAGGCAATCAAAGTTCGTTTGATCGCTGAAGACTTGTATGGTCCTGAGATAAATAACGCCATTAAAAATGCCTCTTGCAACAAAGCTTTTTTTTATGCTGTACTGCCGTTGTATGATAAATTTTGTCGCAAAAGAAACCAAGACAAATTATTTGAAGCATTCTACGGATTGATCCCTAATTCGAGACAATATTTAAATTGTCCAGATTCTAACGCTGTGAATTTAATTATGATAGAGATACCAGATCATTTAGCTGGATTTTTCAAGGTTTGCCAACATCGTGAAAAGGCGGCAGCTAAACCAACGGGAATGACTACAACTAGTGATTTAAATCTTGACCCATCAGAACGTGGCCCTCTTTCCTACGTCGCAGGGTATATAGTTTCAAAGCTATACCAGAAGACTAGATCTAAGAATCAGAATGAATGTGACAAGGAATTGCAAGCTCTACTACAGGCCTTAAAGTCGACTGAATCAGACAATAATTTTATCCTTGCTCGTAGCAGAGGAGGTCTTGTTTCTCCTAGCCATGATCTTATGGGTATCGTGGAAGAAGCCGAGATTTGCTTCAGGAAAAATGTTGGTGAAGGCGAACTAGTGTTAAGAAATATACCTACCGAGATCATTTGCGAGTCAACATTAAGCTCTCCAGTCGTCAAATCACTGTGGGAGAGCATTGTGCTGGAATCGCATAGAAGAATCAAGCTCTACGCAGAAGTTATGCTTGGAAAACATTGTGAAATTGTATATTCGTGTTCGCTCATTTTCCTATGCAAGGGATTATATTGGCAAATATAAAATAAAGCAAAAACAGACGAAAAGTAAATTGTTACGAAAGGACTTAAAACGAAGCAAAAACCATTAAATCACTGTGATTAATGCACCTATCAATGTTAAGCCCCAGAGGGGGGGGGGGGTCTGGCATAGGTGGGGCATTTGATTTTTTGAGCAAATTTTCAATCAAATGCCCCACTGTCGGGCAATAAATATTGGTCAAATACTATATTAATAAAAGCCATCCGGTTCAAATTGCCCCAACTCGGGGCCAAAATGCTAATCAAAATCCCCAGGGTGGGGATGCAATTGATGATCAAATACCCCACATATGCCAGACCACACCCACCCACCCCCTTCTGGGGTTTAACATTGATAGGTGCATAAATGATGAACTATAAGTTATGAACCATGTTACAAATTACAATGCCACAGTATTAGAAACACGGTTTTTAAAGTTCATCCCCGTGTGATGAGAAGCCATAGTTTAGAAGTTCTATTCTTGGGTTTCATATGACGTCATAAATTTGACAGGGGGGGGTCAACTCTAAATCGAGACACAGTCATCAGAGTGAATTAAGTGTTCACTGTATGTGTTGGCCTTGTGTTTGGTGGCAAATATGTGCAATTTCGTATCATTTGCTCAGTACAGCATAAGCTTCAATACATTTTAGGTTGACCCCCCATCAGATTCACTGCAAAATGCCATAGTAGAACCCCAATCGCATTCCCAGAGCCTCTGCGATCCTTGGAAAGGAACGTGAGGCTCTGGGATAATCCATTTCAGGGAGGAATCTGATTGGCCGTTGATATAGAATGCATAGTTTGGTCTTAGCCAGGATTCCTGGCTTCCGGCAACGGATTATCCCAGAGCCTCACGTTCCTTCCCGAGGATCGCAGGTTCAGGGAACAAGATTGAGTATAACCCAAGAATTGCTTTCAAATCAACATGAAGTGTGATCATGTTGAACTTGCATGCAATAAAGTACTACCTCGTATTACTCACTTGCAACAGCAGCCATGTTCGTGCCACATTCAATAAAAGATTAGATTATCTTGTTGAAATGGCACCAACACAAATGATACAGTATTATCATTGCTCATTAATATAAAATTTCATTACTTGAATTAAAGAAAGGACAGTGTCACAGTGTATAATTGTCAAAAATTAGTGTATAATATTTAATTATAAAAAACTGTCACATGATATTAAAAACCCCTGTAACTGTTATGCTTTCATCAGCACTGTAACAGACTAGTTTGTCCACTGTTACATTTATATGTAATGTAAACATAATTAATAAAATATACAGTTTCTATTAACTGTGATTTCTATTAACAGGCACACAGTCAACATTCAAGCAATGTTATTTATTATGATATGTTTTCTACTCAAACTCCAAAAAATTCAGAACAAATTCAAGTTGGTAATTTGTGATTAGCTGATATGACACTTGAATAACATGGCTCAGACTGTGACTCGGTGTACCTTTATCAATAAGACTGCTTATACAGCAGACTTGTCAATTGATTGGAATTAGTTTCCAATTGCAAGTTTTAGTATATATTTGACTTATAGTATTCGAGTAATTTTTGTAAAATACTGTGTGCATACCCTGGTTGTCAGAGGTTCTTATAACCTTGGTTCTAGATTATATTTTCTGCCCCATTATTATAATGGTATGATAATGGGGCATAAAATAGAACCAAGACCCTAGCTCTGGCAACCAGATTATGCACACAGTATTGTATAAAAATTTTGCCCATACTGTTTTAACAGTTACTGCCTGACCTGCCCAAGTTACTTCTTTTGACGCTTTTTTACTGGTTCCTCGCTCACCTGGTGCCATTTCACTTTCTCATAACGTCCACCAACATTACCTCTAATTACTGGAGCAATGTCTCGTTGGGAAGCTATTGTCAGATCATTGTATCCAAACTGCTGGGCAGTTGGATTATCTGTCCTTCTTCCTTTCTCTCTTTGGTGACCAAAGTAATCTTCGAGAATATCTTGCATAAATCTCTCTGCAAGGACATACTTAAATCCCTCAGTGAGCAGAAATTTAATTGCATCAACATGAGAGTTCACAGCAATCTTCAGGCCTTCATACGTTTGGGAAGAGATAAACATTTTCTGTCTGGCATCGGGTGTGTACTCTCCTTCGCGTGTTAGAGTACTCTGTTTCCAGCTTTCCAGGTAGTTGAGGAAAACATCCTTCAACCATGTCAATCGCTCATCTTCAGAGGACTCATATGGCATGATGAATGAATTTTTTTTCCTGATGTGCTCGGTCAGTGACCTCACATTGGTACAGTCAAAGAACCCATTCATCATTTCACAGAACTGGGCGGTACCGGTGACATCCTCTTTTCCACTTTCTCGCAGAGCAATGGCGACTGACTTGCTGAGGACCTGGACTGCTAATTTAACTTTCATTTTGCTGAAAGAGGTCAACACAATGTGATCTAAGGTTAGCTTAGGGAGGGTGTGCAGAGAAAAATCTTGGTCGCTGTAGAAGAGGTCTGCTATGTGTTGAAATATCAGATACTGCCCATCATTCCACATAAGACGACTGCGACTTCCATACCCAGAATTGTACAGGCAGTTACGGGCTGTCTTCATGAGATGTGGAGAATCAGCAAAAAAGAAAATGAATCGCGATGGTGCAAAAATGTTTGGTGTTTTATACACAACATCACAATTCACTTCATTGGCCAACTTGGAATGAAGTCGAAAAAACTTTCGATTGGGGGAAGCGCCATCATTCACAGCAGCACACACACGAAGATTGAGGGACACCTCCAGCACAGCTACAGTTCTCCAGAAGAGAGGCATTATATGGAATGACGTGACATTTCCTGTGAAGAAATATGCAATGATATGCTTCAAATCAGTGCATAATCCCCTCACAAGAAATGCCAAGGCATGTGTCGCAATTGGATCTTCATCAGTGAGATTGGCAAAGTTAGTCATGGGGTCACCCAAATCGATGAAGCCAATAAGTTCCCCAGACACTTTATCAAAAACAAGATTTGATTGTATCTTCATCTCATCCATAACAACTGCTACATATCTTTGTACAGGAGTGAAAGATGAGGTTTTTTCTCGTAGGGTTTCGACGTTCTCTTTGTTGATGCCAGCTTTCGGTTTAAAATAGTTCTTATAGTCCCGAAGAACTCTCTCACTTGGGAGAATAAGGGCGCCGCTGTCTCGTAGTTCTCTATAAGCGGATGGAGATTTCCCATGAATGGAAAGAGCAAAGCGGATTACTTGGGGGTGGTACCTTCTACCCATTTTGGCTGATTGCAACAATTTCATTTGTTCCTGCCAAAAGAACTTCATGTGGGGTGTTGCTTCGAGGCTTTGTCCTCCCATGATTTTGAGAATGTCCTTCTCCAAGCTTTCGCTAATCCCAATCCCTTGCTGCTCGATCTTTGTCTGCATTTGCTGCAAGCGGTCCTCAAGATCTTTCACTTGCAATCTTGTTGATCTTACTGTCGCCCGCAACTTGTCTGGACCACATGCTTGTAAAGAGGCTTTAGATTTAGCTGGGGTTGCAGAGGCTTTGCTCTTCTTTCGTGCAGCTCTCTTTACTGTGTTAGAGGCAGTTGCACAAGGTTGACAAGATTCCTTCGAATGTTTGCTATCAACAAGGATATCACATGCAACTGATCGATAAAAGAGTGTCACTTCAAAATGAGCCTCTTGGACTTCGATCGTTTTAGGAATGGTATGGCGTACAATTGTGACTGGGTTTGGATCAGGATTTCCAGTTGGATTAGTAGCAGCAGACATAATATCTTCGTCCTCTATCAGTCCCTGGCAAAATCTGGAATTTTCTATCGTTTGCAACAGCTCGTGTACGTCCAAATACTTAATAGAACGTTTATGTTCCTTATAAATTAGATGGTGGTCAGGTAGTGGCCAGCTGAATACAAATATAGTGAATTCCAGAGATGAATTTACAACAACACTGTAATTAGGAGCACAATGACTCTTGTCGTAAAACTCGATCCGTATCTCACCCTCGTAGGATTTGTCAATTTGCCATGGTTCAATTGTCATCTGGTCGAGCTGCTTTGTAAAATCCTCCATATCGGCAAATCGTGGCTCGATCTGAGACGATGTTGACGGCTTTTCAACGACAGCAGTGTCAACTTTCCTCACAAGAGATCGGCGTTCTGGTTTACTAGGAGCTTCGTGGCTTTTCTGTGGCAGGTTCTCTGTCGGGATGCTGCCCGTAACCAATGTTTTTCTTTTTCCTAACATGCAAATTAGATTCAGTTTATACAGTAGCAAATAATATATAAATATTCATGAACAATGCGTCCTTTATGTTAAATATTTGACTATATTATTGTATAAACAGCTGTCCCTACAAAGAAATATATCACGAAAATATAGGCCACAAATACTTACCAGTTACGATACATTCTGGTTTAAAATGCAGCTCGCAAACAAAAATATTGTTTGCCTCAATTCTCTGTTTCACTTCTTCCGTCGTTTCCCGTGTTCTGAGGATCAAGCGAAGCCATTCTTCGCGAGCTTTTCGCTTCAATTCTTTCGTATATTCGCCATCAACAGGCTTTACTGAAGGGATTCTGAACAGCGAAAGCTTGTGCTTTCCGCTAGTCGGACAGCCAAAAAAGGCGCAATTACCGCCACCCATATGCCCAAGAACTCCTCTTAATATAATAGTTTGAATCAGCGAAGTAAACAGTGGAAGAAATACACAGTATTCGTTAAACAGCTGTATGTTCGCTCATGAATATAATTTGAGCTTTGAGCGTCTGATACCGCTTATTGGTCACATGATCAAAATAAAAAGTGGACAATAACATATTTTGTCACGTGGTACGCTAGCCTAACCATCCCCCTTCTATTAACTGTGAAAGAACGAACAATAACCAACGACTGCCAACGGTTTATGAAACGAAACACGACGATGTCCATAAAAGGATATAATCGAAACAGCTCGCCTCGAGTTCGGTAAAAATAGTACCAACATGCTTTGCGCAGCGCGACTCTTGCCTGTCGCAATATTTCATATTTGCGAATATTCAAATCGTTTGCTTCTTTATGTCGCCGTAAATATTTGAATATTTATTACTTCTCAACGCAGGAATACTAAAAGATTAAATCAAGCAAGGAAAAGCAAGGTATGTACTACACAATTGCTATTTATTTCCGCAGAAGAGAGAGTACAATCTCATTATCTCAGGACTATATTGTAACGGAAGTTTATTTTGCTGGTTTACAACTCGTGTATAAAATACATGAGAAAAATTTTGTGTTGGGTTATTATACAGTAACAATTCCACAGGATGTTGGCCTCTGCAACTGATTTATTTCTTACAAAGCAACATTTTTTCTTCGCTTGACAGCTTTTTGATAGTGTAATATTTATAACAATATTTCTTGGGCATCTCACTTGATTGAAGTCATTGAACTTAATAATATTGAATTATGAATGTGAAGAAGTTTGTACATGGTCTATAAAGAATAGGCTTTTCACACCAAGCATTGCCAATGGAGGAGTGGGGTGAGGGCACTGAGGGGCGATCCCTAAATGTAGCTTCAAATTAAATATGTACCTTGGTCATTTTAACCTGATTTGTATGGCCTGTTCAAATGAGCCATAATAATATTAGCATAGAAAATTACATTTTATTCATGTAAGGAAGCACAATCCCAGATTTTAATTTTAATTTTAATGAAAGCATTGTGAGAATTATCGGTGTTCTACCAATAGGCATAGCATCAATAAGAAAAAGCTAACTGCAACTAGGGTATACAAGGCACTGTTATCAATGTGTCTAATTTGATCCATTGCTGAGATGACTAAAATATAATCGAAAAGTAGAATTACCATTGTGTGCTTTATGAAAATACGTACAGTAGTGCTTCCCGTAATCACCATTCATTAATAATATCAATTCCTCCTTAGGATTATGTTGACGAGGGCTATATGTAACAAACCATTCATTGGTGACGCTAGATGATCTTCATTCAAGATTCATTATCGGAAAGGAATCATCGTCAAGAAATGGTCTTTTCATTGGCTGATAAAAATTAACCTTGGGCAGATGTTTGCCAGGTTGTATATTTCTTGTAGCCTTTGACTTGCATAAGGAAAAGAAAATATATACTGACACTACATGCTAGATGACGAACTCATTGTTGAAGAACATTTTAGTATTGTTTATATAAAAAAAGAACACTGTAAAGTCACCTTGTACTGGACAGAGTAATGTAATAAGTGCAGAGCTCGGCACAGCTAATTTACATTACCATTTGCAGTCTAAATGGTAATAAATGTGATATTTTACATTCATCCAGCTTTACTGTCTTACATTTTGAGGAGCATTACAGTACAAAACTTCAATGTGCCCTACTTGCCTACTGCCCTTTCATTATATTACTCTATCTAACAGCATATAAGGTCAGGGATGGATCCAGCATGATCTGGTAGGGGGGGGGGGTGCTCTCGTGCCGACTGCCGAGTTGTGTCGGTCATGTGTGCCACCCGACCATCAACTCCCGTATTTGAATTGTAATTGTTGTTCACAGTTCATTTATCCTCATGTTATTACTCAAATTACTGTATCTCATTTTGTCTTTTTTGCTTTATCATAAAAAATAGCACCCCCTCTGCACCCCCTCTGGCAAGGGCTAGGGGGGGGGGTGCACCCCCCAGTAAATCCATCCCAGCCTGTATAAGGTTATATTTCATTAAGGGGTTGAGTCTTATTAATAGTTTATTTGTGAATTTATTTAAATATGTATCATTTTGATATTGAGCATAATAGTTTTCACCTAAATACATTGTGCTTTATATATTTTCTATTTATGTATGTGTATAATGCTAAATTGAATAGAATATTATTTTTTGCTAAAATGTGTTGATTTAGGTTATGTTAGATGTCACTAAGATGGTTTCGATAAATCGAAACATTGACATGGTCTCGATAAATCGAAACATTGACATGGTCTCGATAAATCGAAATATTCACATGGTCTCGATAAATCGAAACATTCACATGGTCTCGATAAATCGAAACATTGACTTGGTCTCGATAACTCGAAACATTCACATTTCACATGGTCTCGATAAACTGAAACATTCACATGGTGTCGATAAATCGAAACATTGATATAGTTTCCAAATATAAATTGATCAGAGATGCCTTTGGTTAAACCAACATATTTTCACTAGTTGCTGTCATGCTACTTTTGCATTATTTGATCCTTTTCAGAACAGTCTATAAAATGTGTTGTAAATGTTTGGTAAATTTGGTTGTTTTAGCAAGAGAAGAAAATTTGCATTCTTTTTTTTGCACAAAAGGTGTTTTTAAGCACCAATTTTTCTGTTTTTTTCAGTTTTGGACAAATTTGTTTAAAAATACGAAAATTAGCAACATTTTTGGGTAAATAGAATATTGGACCCTATAGTCGAACGTGTTTATAGTTTTGAAGCTCCATGGTAAGTGCTGTTGTTGTAGCCGCTAATCTCAAAACTTTTATGGCTTCCCCTTCTAAATATACAGGTTAATTAATAACTCTCTCTCTCTCTCTCGAGCATACGCGGACAATTTCGAGTCGGTATTTTAAAATTCAAATTTGTCTCGAAATTTGTAATAGTCTGATAACTTCGGAAAATTAAAATTGAAAGACGCTTAGATGCGAAAATTGGGAAACGATAGTTAATTTCCGATTACGGGACAAACAAATTGCGGTGCTGTCTCGGCAATGGTCGACGGCGATTTTTGTTTAAACGCGTTCAAACCTCACCCAACTTAGATTAAACCTCGGTCAGACCTCACTCAAACCCGGGTTAACCTAGGTTAAACCGAGGTCAATCCGAGATCTAACCTAGGTTTGACCGAGGTCTAACCTAGGTTTGACCGAGGTTGGACCTAGTGTTTGGCCGAGGTTAACTGCGGTTTTTGTTAGGTTATTTCTGGGCAGTACTGTATATATATATATATATATATATATATATATATATATATATATATATATATATATATATATATATATATATATATATATATATATATATATATTACTCGAAACCGATTTTTGTGACGACATTTGCCGAAAATTTCGCTTCTTTTATTGAGTAAATTGTCTTTGTTTATGTCTTTCAAAATGCAAAATTTTTCTTCCAAACATAAAATGCAGCGTTTTGATCCCCCTGTGTACGAAATAGCGTGTTTTAAAATTGACCATTTGATGGTATAATCCTGATTGTTTTCTTTTAATTTCCAAATATGTTTCGAAAGTTCCGTTTTGTTTGAGTCTTTTTTATGACGAAAAGATGAAGTGTGGTTATTTTTATATATATATATATATATATATATATATATATATATATATATATATATATATATATATATATATATATATATATATATATATATATATATATATATATATATATATATATATAGTTTTTCGTTTTACCTCAAGAAACCACAACAGTCTGTTTCATCCGTATAGGAATCATCAGGTCACCTGATGATTCCTATACGGATGAAACAGACTGTTGTGGTTTTTTGAGGTAAAACGAAAAACTATATTACGCTCTATCTATATGGTATTGAGCACTGTTTGTGTTTCGTAAACCAAAATCTTAAACTATATATATATATATATATATATATATATATATATATATATATATATATATATATATATATATATATATATATATATATATACACTATATATATATATATATATATATATATATATATATATATATATATATATATATATATATATATATAAGTTAATCACCTGGCAAAAAGCCATTTAAATAAGTTAATCACAAACACATATTGACGTTTCGACTTTATTGTCTTCTTCCAAGTAAAAATCGTTAACATAAACCCCTACTTATATACCCTACCAGACGAACATAATTATTCATACTCCTCAGAATCCTGTTCAATGTTCAACCCCGAGGGGTACATTGTCATAAGTCTATTAATCCAGTACATTTCCCTAATCGTTGGTTCTGCTGGGTTGGTTTTATCAATTATGACTATATCACAGTCATTCATTAAGCCATTATGGTTTTCACCTAAGAAATGCGAATGAAAAAAGGCTTGTGTATGAGCTTTGTTGGACATTGCTTTCCAACAAAGCTCATACATGGGGTTGAACATTGAACAGGATTCTGAGGAGTATGAATAATTATGTTCGTCTGGTAGGGTATATAAGTAGGGGTTTATGTTAACGATTTTTACTTGGAAGAAGACAATAAAGTTGAAACGTCAAAAAATATGTGTTAGTGATTAACTTATTTAAATGGCTTTTTGCCAGGTGATTAACTTATATATATATATATATATATATATATATAGATATATATATATATATATATATATATATATATATATATATATATATATATATATATATATATATATATGTATATATATATATATATATATATATTTATATATATATAGTTAGTTTTTTTTTAAGATATAAATTATTGATCCACTCCCCTTTGGATATCAAGTAAAACACTAAAATTTTGCCATTTTTGGGAGTAAATCACATATAGGCTTAAATGCTTAAATGTGTCTGAGCTTCAAGCAATTGTCATACATATGTTTATTTTGGTTGCAGTATAGTAATAGTAATTTTGTAATTTAATTAATTTGTGAAAGAGTTAGAATGCCTCGCATGGGACTTATATGTCTTAATTGTTTCACTGTCCAATAAGGTTTACAATATAAATATTTATGTGCCCTAGAAAAAATAAGATGAAATACTTTTCCTCCTGCATTGGATATCCTGACTCTTCAATGCGGTTGCCTATATAAAATAAACTGGCTCGTTGAGGTAATTAGTTAGGATACTCATTTGTTTGGATAATGTTTGGAAATAATTTAATGAAATCACTTGAGTATATGAATTATCAGTGTCACATCTCCACAGTGAGTGTGTAATTAATATCAACAACCCTAAAACCTTATTTTCATTAATATTTTGCATTATCTGATAGTATCTGAAATACTGTAACTACTAAACAGTACTTAGCTGTATTTTCATTGTTTAGGCAAAGGTGTTGAATTTTCATTGTGGATGGGATATTGTAGTGATGGCCAGTCATGGACATAGTCGTGGCACAAGTTTTGTGAGATTTGGGACTTCTGGTCTGGGGGAAGAGTTTATTGGGGCTAATGAGCACCTATCAAGTTCCCCAACTGGAAAAGCAGTTTTTAATGTCTTTTCTTCATATATCAGAGGTAAGTTGTTTGTATTTTTTTTGTTGGGCATTTTTTTCAGAAATTACCTTTTGGTAGGATAAATACAGCATTATTTCAATAGACCATGAATAGACATTTTTCATAAAGACGTCAACAAGTTTCATTACTGACGAGCCAATCAAACTTAGTGTAACATCTTGTATCCCACATTTGACGTCATTATGAAAAAATCCATTAAAATTTTCAGCATGAGTAGTCAAATGTACAATTATATGAGCGCCAAAGTAATGAAGGGAATAATCATAGTCTTCATAGTTTTAAATAAGTTTAGCATATCACTTGGCTTGTGGAAATATTTTCAACGGCACTCACAATGCAAATGAAGTTAATATGCAAGCCCTGACTGTTTCCCATCATTCTTTTAGCGCTTATATAATTGAAGGTTTATGGAGTTGTTAAAGTTTCTGTGATCACAGTGGGGATTTTGCGTAGGTACATCCTAAGTTTCATACAATTTGCTAGAAATGTTTGAGGGAACTAAAACAGTCCTTAGCATTGAGCTACTTCGCCCTGATGTTTATTACAAACCCTTTTCAAAGACCTAAAAATATGTGATGTATTAAAATGTATATTTGATGTTAATGTATTGTCATAAGTAACTATATATAATGAACAACTAAACTGAAAATGGGTCTTGGACAGAATCATATAACCCGTACCTGTAGTTAGCGCTCAAAAATAAGAAGTATGTTAGTCTTGTTAGAAGCTTCTTATTCTGGAATTCATTTGTCTTTTATAGAGAACAAAAAATCAGACCCTAAAAGGCCTACTCTAGGTAAAGAAGAACCTCCATCACAATCTATGTCCCCTGTCGTATCTATTCCTTCCCCTGTTACTCCTATTCCTTTTGCCACTTCCCTATTCCCTGTTACGTCTATATCTTCATCTATGTCCACTTCTGGACCTTCATCCTTATCTTCTTCAATAAATTCTGGACCTTTGTCCTTATCTTCTTCTGTCACTTCTCAACCTTTGTCCTTATCTTCCTCGGTCACTTCTAGACCTTGGTCATTGTCTTCTTCGGTCACTTCTCGGCCTTCATCGTTATCTTCCTCGGTGACTTCTCAACCTTCACCCTTATCTTCTTCAATAACTTCTCGACCTTCGTCCTTATCTTCTTCTGTCACTTCTCAACCTTCATCCTTATCTTCTAGTTCTCGACCTTCGTCCTTATCTTCCTCTGTCACTTCTAGACCTTCGTCCTTATCTTCTTCCATAATTTCTAGACCTTCGTCCGTATCTTCCTCGGTCAATTCGAGACCTTCATTGTTATCTTCTTCGGTCACTTCTCGGCCTTCATCGTTATCTTGCTCGATGACTTCTCGACCTTCGTCCATATCTTCCTCGGTCACTTCTAGACCTTCGTCCTTTTCTCATCCTCCTTTCATTGATCCACCTTTTTCCACTAGTCTTTCTTCCTCACCTACCACAGGGCCCACCACTACAGATAGTGCGTCATTGAATACAACGATCAAGTTACCTTCAGGTACTGTATATATTGTATCTTACAAATGTTGGCTTTATTTTCCTTGATAAAGATGTGTTTAGGTATTGTTTTTTGACAGACTAGCTGTGTAGTTAATATATAATATACAAATAATGAATGTTTATGAGTGCAATGGTAAGAATATTTTCATGAGGTGAAAGATGGAATGTTTCACCCATTTAACTTTTGAGGGGGGGGGGGTGATTTTGAAAAAAAAATTTCCTGCAAGGCTATTCTGGACAAAAAAAATACCTGCACTAACAAACTGGGGAAAAAATATCCTGCCCCAGTATTTGGTGGGAAAAAATGTTGCAAAACAGCATGGTTGCAGGGATCGATTTGACCAGTCCCAGAAGATCAGCTGGTTTGATTTTCCAACGTCGGAAATGAATTTACCAACGTCGGAAATTTTGCCAATTTCCGACAAGTTGTCAATTTTCCAAAAATTTCCGACAACATTCACAATTTTCCGACGGGTCTTCACGGTAGGGGGGGATGCCCCCCCTGCCCCCGGCCACGGCGCCACTGTCTGAGCTTCAAAAACTCCAAAATTTTCGGGGGGGCATGCCCCCAGACCCCTCTAGAGGCTCGCACCTTCGGTGGTCGACTCAGTTGTTGCTGCCCTATGACGTATACGTATTAGTTAAACCATGCATATATATGCTGTAGGTAGCTGCAGTGATACAGACAGGGCTGTAGCAAGGGGGGTATTGGGGATGGTTACCCCCCCCCAACTTTTTTAGAATCAACATATTCAGAAAATCGGGTTGGCCATTTGGAAAATTGCGGCAATTATTTAATAGTAGAACAAAATTTTAGTTGTTAAACAGAGAAAATATTATAAAATTGTATTGTCACTATAAATTGTAAGCAAATTGTAAATTTCGTCATACTAAAACGCTTTTTTCTGACCATCAGCATTCTGTCAAAACTTCCCCAAAGTCCAGGAAATGGCATTTCAGAGACTCGAAATTTAAAAATTTCCTCGGGCCTCCGGCCCTCGTTTTCTGCCCCCAATAAACAAAAGCTCCCTACCGCACTGCTTCTGTAATATGTCTGTGCGTAAATTATGCATATTTTTGTTAATTGTAAATTAAGTCTTCATTTTCCGAGTAGCAAACACCTTCATGGCTAATAGTATGCCATGATATATTCGGAAATTATTTTCGTCATTCGGAAATTTTTGGCCTACACCCCCCCCCCCCAACTATACATGCTAGCTACGGCCCTGGATACAGACTTGCCGACTGGAACTTCTCCAGGTCCCCCGCTAATTATGCCCTCTCCAGTTGCACATCCTTAAAAAGGCACTGAACCAAATGTTTTTCCTCATAGCAAAATGTATTATTAAGATATAATATATATATATGCAGTAGTACAGTACGGCACAGTCAAATTTGATATCCGATTCTCCAATTTGAATGATTCTCCTTTTATCAAACTTTCTTTAAATTTGTTAAAAAATACCTGGCACGACCAAACATGAGCTTTACCATGCATGATAGAGAGGGCTGGTGCCATCGAAAAGGCTTCGTCAGGTGACAAATCTTTAGGAAGAGAAGTAAACCAAGGCCAGTATTTACAAATCACATCTTGCCATAGGAACTTAACATTATGGTGAACGAGTCTGTTGATCTGCAAATAATGTGTGTAGCCATACAGTTCGCCTTGATGCATATTTACAGCACATTGAGCCAGAGAATGTCGACAGCCTGCTACAACAAGACCAGTTTCATCTAGTTTGGATTGACGATTGATTGTATTTCTCGCAGCTTTCCAATGAGATGAACCACAGTAGGAATTATTTGAGTGACCCTGGAAATATTGAATATTATAATAATACAGTACTTATATATGTTTTGCTACATTATAATAGAATTTCAAAAGTCTCTTCTGCAAAATTTGTGACCATCATGCATCATTACACTCTTCACGATTCTTCACATATCATGATCATACTTTAGCTGATTTGTTTGAATAAATTTTGTTCAAGTGTTCCTCTACAACTTCATCATCTTCAATGAATGTATTTTCATAATAGCATTTCCTTTCACCTCTATAAACAAATTCAAATCATATTATTAATAATTATTGACTTAGGTAAAGTAATTCTTAAAATAACATGTTACAGGTAGAGAGAGAGAGAGAGAGAGAGAGAGAGAGAGAGAGAGAGAGAGATTCTAGTGTCAAATACCACTTGAGACATGTGCTTTGCATGTATATCAATTTCAAATATTCCCTGCATGCCAGAGATAGGAATTTTCTGTTGGAACTGGAGATTTTTGGCCGTAAATGGAGTTTTTTTCACCAGAGGTGAAAAAAAACAGAGTTTGCATTACAGCCCTAAATAATGGTAAACATCTGGTTTCTGGGATGGATATCTGGTATAGCAATGATTTGCTAATTGTATTATTAATTTATTATTTGTATGGGACTACAGTAACCTCAGTACTATGATTTACTAACCCTGCCCTTTTCACTAGATATGGAGGCCAAGGACTTGAGAAATGCTGTCTCTGATGTGCCTGGCATGTACTTTCGTAGTGAATCCCAAACCCTGAACACATCTTCACAGAAGATATAATTAAGATTCTTAGGACCACCTGGCCAATACCCTTCATTAATTATCTTCTCAAGTGTCAATGGTGAGAACTGTTGATCACAACCAGTACAGCTGTATGTGAATAAATACAAATCAAATCTTCCTGCAATAAAATATTGAAGATTAATAGTAACCACAATTTTGGAGTTCATATACTGATAATACTTAAGTATACACTATGCAAAGTCATACCTTTAACTGTTATAAGGATGCACATTTCATTAGAGGGAATGATGGAAAGTGTATCTTGCCCTTTGCAATAAATACATTCTTTACAGAACAAAAATGGAGCATATCTTCCTATAGACGAAAATATTTAATCAGTCTAATAGTATGTTATTATTCTACCCAGTGCAGTATACAGCACATGTATACAGTACATGATTACTGTACCAGTAGTTAAGTTTAAATAGTAAATACCTCAAATTATTGTATCAAATCATATATACATGCATACATACATACAGTAGCTATATTAACCCATTAAGCGCCGGTGCTCTCCCTTTGATGAGTAAAGTCGTCTGGTGTTAGACAGAGTAAAATGGGTTAACTAGACACATGGGCGGATAGGCCAGTTGACCCATTAAGTGCCAGCGCTCACTCCCCTTGATGAGTAAAATCGTCTGACAGAGTAAAATACTAAAGTAGGTGCATCAGGGTGCAATGCGACTCAATGGGTTAATACATAATATTTCAAAACTCTTTGTATTAATTGGTGACATACTGTAGGTGCATTAACTAGTTAATTAACAATTTTTGAACACCAGATCAAATAATATTCACCAACTGTAGTAGCCAACTGTAGTAGCCAACTGTAGTAGTCTACTAGTCTCTGGTATTAATGTGCTCTTAAAAGTAGAATACAGTCAGCTTCTGAATATTACCAAATGAATGATAATTTTTTGAATTATTAATAAAATTAATACACTAATCACTTACTGTTAAAGCCTGGAGATCCATCTGTCAAAACTGTTTCAGTTGGAGGAACTGGCTGATAAAAGCCATTAATCCAAATTTCACGATCATGCAAAGGGTTTGTCTCATGAGTCGCCTCATCACAATTACTACAAAGTAATGCAGTTGGTCCACAGTGGCGACACCGAACAACAGCTCTGTCTTCTCTGCACATGAAGCAAACAGCCTCAATGTTAGGAGTTGCATGGCTTTTCAAAACAGCAGCAAATATGGTAGATCTACTGTTTTCCCAAACAGCTTCCACAGACTGCATTCTTTTTGTCCACATGGACTGGGTATTGGACTTCATCTCCTTGGTCAAACTTTCACAATTTGCTATGCAGGTAGTCAAATTTTCTACAATAAATAATAGATTTATTAACTTTGCATATGAAGAAGATAGACTGCTTGTACCACACAAATCATGCTGAGTTTCATTATACAGAAAGCTACATATAGCTCTTACATACTCATATTAGAGCTAAAGAATTCAAAACAATCTAAAGATCAAACATTTCATGATCAACTAATTTAGGTAAAACACATAATGATAATCAATAGTCTTTGGAAGCAGTATATAGGTGGGTTTCACTCAAGACTTTATATACAATAGGGAAACTCTTGGTGGTCAAATTTACACATATGCCTTGTGCCTTTAGAAGCAAGTAAATTTTAAATTGCATAATATTTGATACCAAACACTGCAAGATCAATATTTAATATAATGAATATATATATTAAATTTGATAAACGTGTTCCCATTTGGAGTTGACCACCAAGCCCTAAATGTATCACGTAACTGAAACCCAGCTATTAAAAAAGGAGCATCACTCACAGAAGGGTACAAAAGCTGGATCCCCCCTCATCTGGACCCCCATCTGGACCCCCATCTGGACCCTCATCTGGACCCCCTTCTGGACCCCTATCTGGACCCCCTTCAGGATCTCTCAGAATAAAAATTAAATTCAAAATAGTGATTAAAATAGAATAATGAGATATTTGATATAAATTATAAGACGATTAAATATTTTCATAAATAATATATTTTAATTTATGGATTCGAAGTAGTTGGGCCTAGTTGCAGAGTAGTCTTTTGTGCAATAGTCTGCCCAGTTGAGAAGTAGTCTTTAGATTTTAGTTTTTAAGCAATTCACTAAGCTTTTATTTTAAGTCAAAGAATAGTTTCAGCCATGTCAGGGTAGGGCATATTTTGAGTTAGGGTTAGGGATAGACAGCATCATATTTAGCATTTTCTATTGTTATTGTGGGTCCACTATCTCCTTGCAATATGAAGTAATAGCAAACATACTGTAAACTCTGACTATAAGCCCATGCACCGACTATAAGCCATGGGCTTATATACTGTAAGCGATTTTTGATGGGCTTATACAAGGGGGGCTTATATATGGGGGGGGGGGCTTATACATGGACAATCTTTTGTGTTAGTAATAAACAAGTCAGACATAAACAGGAAAATAAACATATATTAAGCAGCAATTACTTGGCTTATATTAATTTGGGGGACTTATATTCGGGCCGGGGGCTTTTATTCGGGTAGGCTTATATTCGGGGGGGGGCCTTATATTTGGAATGAGGTGAACGTTAGTACATGTGGGGGGCTTATATTCGGGAGGGGGGGCTTATAGTCTGAGGTTCACGGTATATGCCACCTATAAAGTGCTATAACTTGGCGGGAACAAATTTATAGCACTTTGTTTTTAGTGAGAATAATTTTCACCTGATGAATTTATTAAAAACGTATATGCCCGTGGTAGGTGGAGAATCTTCTGATGAAGAGTATGAAATCAGCGCGTGCGGCATCTCAGAGAAGCGATGGCCGATGGATATTAAACTGATAAGTTTGCTGTTACTTCATCTTGCAAGGAGATAGTGGACTCACAATAATAATAAAATGCTAAATATGCAGTATCCCTAACTGAAAATATGCCATACCCTGACATGGCCGAAATTATTCTTTTGATCGATCTAATATAAAGTAGTGACTTGCCTAACCTATTGCACAAAAGACTACTTTGCAACTAGGCCCAACTTCAATAAATTATAAAAATCTATTATTTATGAAAAATCGTATTATTATTTATATCAAATATCCTTTTAATATCTATTTTGAATTTATTTTATATTCTGAGAGGTTTTGAAGGGGGTCCAGAAAGGGGTCCAGAAAGGGGTCCAGAAAGGGGTCCAGAAAGGGGTCCAGATGGGGGTCCAGATGAGGGGGTCCAGCTTTTGTACCCTCCCATGACTCACAACATATAATTAAAATAATTCAGATGAGTGTAAATTTAAGCCAATATAAAGCAAATATTGTTATTACACAGCACACTGTTGTGTAGTCAAGAAGTGAAACATCACGGTATATAGGAATGAGACTAACCTCTTGATAGAGAGGCATCAGATGTTCCTTCATCGATGTCAAAATCGAAGCCACTACCTGATTCAAATGAGCAAACATCAAGGTCCCCCTCTAAAAATGCAATTAATAATTCAACAGCGCTATCACACATAACTGAAGCACAAAGCAACAAATAGTATATGGTGAGGCGGATAATCTATAAAAATTAAAATTAATTTACCTGTAACACTTATAGTTTGGCCAGAAGTAGCGTGCTTTTTGTTTGTTTTGCGCCGCTCAGCAACAGACCGGTATTTGTGTTTGGGATTACGGATTCTTTTACCGCTGCTATTGTACGAGAGGAAGAAGTCGCTCTGCTTTGGGGTCTTTTTTGTCTCTAATGAACTGGTTAGCTCTCTTAAATTTTCCAAACTAGCCTCCAAGGAAAGCTGTTGTTGTGATGACCGCTTGGACGGTTTAGCCTGTGGTTTAGCGCACTCTTTGGCAGCCGCCATTTTGAGAGCATACACGCGATACGCGGACCAACCTTACGGGCTCTGGGTACTACAGATGATTGAAGGCCTTGAACTATCTATTATGCATATTCTTAGGACATTTGACATATACCTATAATAGGTATTCTTAGAGTGAGGATGTGTTAAATAACTGAATTTGTGAGGGGCCTGAGGGCCAAACAGAGTGAATCATTTACCGAGTCAAATCCGAGTACGAGTCAATTCCGAGCCCGAGTCACGTAAAAAAAGACGAAACTGAATAAAATTCACAGTCGAATAGGGTTAACCCAAGACTCTATGAAATATGATATAGTATTATAGCCCTAATATTCAATCACAGCCAATTTCCATGTTTCATTAAGATTCATAATCATCAAAACCATTCATCGGTCTATTATTTATTTCCATTAATATTTATACAAATGGGATGGTTTGGTCAGAAAAATTCTGCCTTATTATTCGAACCATATATATTTGATAACATCTGCCTCATTCTAAACAGACAGACAAACGGACTTTCTTACCCTGCAACTAATTAACTTTAGGTAGTCAGAGTCTGTACGGCAAACCATAACCAAGCCTACGTTTAGCACCACATATGGCTATACATAGGTTCTATAGGGTAGGCTATATAACATACCTTTATTATACTTATTAGGCCTACACAATACTTTACAGTATTGGTCTGCCTCGCAGACACTGTGAACATCTAGGAAATCCATTAACCTAATTGGGATGATACCCACGTATAGAGGTCTGATACTTGCATTTCTGGGGTTGGGTTAGATGTCTTAGATAGGACATAGCGGTTTGCGTGACGGAGTGAGTTCGTTATCACATGCGTACTGCACTTCACGGGATGGTCTCCTGGCAAGGCCATGTGAGTAATGTACATCATCAAATTATTTCTATCATTAAGGAATAATTTTAGATGACATGGACTGACAAAGAAAATACACAAAACACTGCACACACTATAACCATGCTGTCCATGCATGATGTACCTGCTATACAATATTTCACAGTAAGGTCAAGTATACTTTCCCGACCCTGTGAAGATCTTAGAAACCAATAACTAAATAAGGCTTACAAGAAAGTTGCACAACGCAAAATCCCAAACGCCTGTAGAGGTCCGATTACCTATCTTTAATATATAATAACTGAAATACCTTCCTAGCCACCACCTGGTTGCTGTTTATACACATTTAATAACTGAAATATCTTCCTTGCTACCACCTGGTTGCTGTTGAAAGACATTTAATAACCAAATGACCGTCCTTACCATCACCTGGTTGCTGACCCAACAAATCATGTTTGCAGCTTTTATATAGTCGTTTGAGGGTACTTGACAAATCAGTTAATAATTTAACTGTCTTTATTCAATTCTCATTCAAGAACACACGTCTGAGTTTACAATAGTTAAACAAACATCGATTAGGTGCCTGCCTTCCATATATATATATACGGACCTATATATGATCGCACATTGGCAATTTAAAAGATAACATATATTAGTAATTTAGTAAGATAATGTAAATGGACCATGAGGTATTGTAAGTACAAATTTGAGATAATTTGTGGAATAGACGTGTAGATGTATAGTGCACGAATATGTTATAGACAAGACTAGCAATATATAGTACTGTTTGGAGTGTTTGCACGCATTAACAGGGCCCTTTTTAACTATATAACTAATTGGGAGCCAAAATCCCCCAGCCCCAATGACTCCCCACCACCATTCAACCATTTGGTCCCCAGTCAAAGTCTCTTTTCTCTAAAATATCAGCAAATTATATTGGACGAAAAATGGAATTTGGAAAGAATATTTGATATTCTAGTAACTGAAATTTGCTTTGTGAATCTTATGTCCTGTCTTTTATCTTCAAATAATTCAATGTCTATAAAAATGCTAAACATTGTGTCCTGAATACATTAGATTTTAAGCCAGTGCCTCATTGGATAGCATATCCCGGACCCTATAGATTTGAGTTGTTGGAAGGCTAGACTAATTGGCGAAACAAGTTAGTGACCGAGTTGTAACTGAAGATTCTGTAAGAATATATCTAAAGTACTGTCTATAATGTAACGCTGTGCATCCAAAAATCTGTTCTGAAAATGCACCAAATGCAGTCCTAGGGGTGAAAAAATTCAAAAATTTTCTGGGGGAGAATCCCCCCAGACAGACCCTCCTACTATTACATACAATAGTGTGGTCTCTTTTTGTAGATTGCTTTCTCCCCACGGACAAATTCTTAAAAAAGGCTTGGGCAAGCAACGAATGTTGGTGAGCGTTTCGTATGGTGGTGTACGTGAATGTGATGATTTAAATTTCCGTAATTTCGTAAGCAAATAAACTAACATAGAACATGAACTAATGTAATAAACAACTTTACTTTGTCACGTTTGGTGAAAACTGAAAACTATGAATTAAAACCGCACGCGCTAATTCAGATACCAAACGCGCAGATTCGAAAACTGGGCGCGCAAAAATCCGGAATATTTTGATCTCGGTCGCGCAATTTGCAAACTTTCCAGTCTGGTGAGAAATAGTGTTACAAACAAGTTACATACTTGGTAAAATTTTTCTGCCTTTTGTTTTGGCTCAAAATGCACTACGCGTTGTAATTCACGGTATTGTTTATAGTCACGAGATTGTCTTTACCCAGCCAATGACGTCAGATTACTCAGATAATGTATTTTGTGGCATAACTTAGCATACGCGCTTATTTTCAAAATGGCGGACAACTGTTCAAATTTTCTCAAATTCAATCACAGTTCTCAGCAGCTAAACGCGACAAACTGGCCAAAATATGAAATTAAATATTCGGTATTGTTTATAGTCACGAGATTGTCTTTACCCAGCCAATGACGTCAGATTACTCAGATAATGTATTTTGTGGCATAAATAAGCATACGCGCTTATTTTCAAAATGGCGGACAACTGTTCAAATTTTCTCAAATTCAATCACATTTTCTCAGCAGCTAAACGCGACAAACCGGCCAAAATATGAAATTAAATATTCCGTAAGTATTATTAATAGATATAAGTAATAAAAATTTTGGTTGCCAATGTCCTTTAAATGACGAAATACCTCGTATTTTTCTTGAAACACTATCCAAACTGTGTTAGGGACCATTCATTATTTATGACCGGGGGTGGGCTGGCAAAATTCAATTAACAACTAAACAAAATGTCCTGCCCCACCCCCTACATCACAAAAAAATTCACTGAACCCCTCTTACATAAATTCTAAAAAATAGTAGCCCCCCCCCCGACCATGCACCACCGACAATATAATAAATGTACACTACTGTATAGAAATGAGCTCTTTAAACTTGTTGTAAAAGGCATCAGATCTTTCATTTACTTGTACTTTCAATATGCATGCCTATTTAACCCATTACGCTGCAGAGTTTCCTGGTGACGAGTAAAATCATCTGGCGTTAAACAAGTAAGAAAATAAGTACTGGGGCGCAATGGGTTAATTATAAGTAATAGCATGGCTTGAGGGAGATTAGTGATTAAATGGCCCCGTAACCCGAGGCAGGTTTGCGAAATTCCCGAGGGCGAAGCCCGAGGGAATTCCGCAAACCTGCCGAGGGTAAGGGGTCATTTAATCACTAATCTCCCGAAAAGCCATGCTATTAGTTTGTAATAGCATAGTTTCGCTCCCATTTAAAAATGGACAAACATGCCCTACTTGGAATCAGCGTATTTAAGCTAAAACATTTGCTTCATTGCTTGTGGGATGTAAAAGCTTGTTGCACATGCGCACTTTTTACGCTTTAATCGGTTACGCATGCGCAATCTATCATTTAACGTACCACAACAACAACGCTAAATATATTAGTATAAATTTGAAGACTGCACCTGCATAATTTAAATGATGCGGCAACTCGGGGATCGGATGATAGACTATTGACGGCTCTGAGCTAACTGTTGCTGTTCCTTGCACGATTATGTGCGTGAGGCACTTGCCTAATGCGTAGTCGTCAGGGAGACAAAGGTGTGACCCTTGGTAACGGGCGATTAGTTCTAATCGCCCGCTCTAGCGGGCGATTAGAACTAATCGCCCGCTACAGCGGGCGATTAGTTAGTAATCGACCCTGTTGAAACAAAAGAAACCCGGGCAACTATGCTATTACTAGAGACATTGTCAGATTTTTTGGTAACCCATTATAAGCTGCAGAGCGCCGAAGAGGCTAAAGCTGGGGGTCATTCCATTTTTCACTACTAAGAGTGTAGTAAAAAGTTGATCAAAAAGAAAAACGTTACTTGGAGTTGTTCGAGCCGAAAAAAGTTGCTCCAAACGCAAAAAGTTGCTCAAAAGTTGCCGAGCACAATCGGGACATGCCTAGCAGAGCTTCCCTGTTGACGAGTAAAATCGGTTATTTGCAGTTTGTCATGGATAATGTTGCCGCTTAAAATTAATCAATTGTCAGTATTTTAAAGCTAGCCTATATTATTCAAATGATAGAAGTGTGCATAATTTTGAAAAAAGAATGATTATTATCAAATTATTGGGTTGCTACGGTCCTGGGTTAAGAGTAGGGTTAAGGTGCTACGTCAATGAACTACAAAGACCGGATATTTGACTCGGGCTCGGATTTGACTCAGACTTGACATGGTAAACCATGCAACTCCTTACTAAATTAAACCATGTATAAAATACCTAGTATAACTATAGTGTATATAGTATATGCCAAACTTTCCCTGGACGTAATGTTGCTACATCGCTTACTCGTTAATTATCTTTTTTATTAAAATGTACATAATTGAAATATGACAAAAGATTATGGCAAGTTATTGGCAAAAGTTGTAAAGGTAGATGTTCGATTATTTTTCATATTAGCTGCGCATATTTCATTTTGGATATTTGTGCATTGCATTTTTGGTCTATCTGTTCATTAAAATTGAGAATTTTGCTAGCTATACATGAATTAAATTTGCTGCCTTGCTCGCTCCCTGTGGTAGCAATAATCGTTAAATGTCAAATTTT